CATAACCGAGAAGATGCGGGAAACAATGAGCGTGGGAGAGGTCGAAGCCAGGATGGAGTTTCTGTCGACAATATTGAAAGTCCAGCTGGCTAAAGAAACGGGGAAGAGGGACGGACTGCCCAGAGAGCGATCGTTCCTCGAATGCGCCCAGGAGATGATCGACCTAAGTGCCAGAGAGGAAGAGACACGGATGGATGTGGAAGAACCGGGTTGGACCCGAGTGACGGATAGACGACCATGGACAGCCCCGACAGGTTGGAGGAAGAGGGACACAAGGCAGCCGAGTGGAGAAAAAGCCCCGACGAGGGAAAGAAGATCGGGACAGTCGTCGAGGCCGAGGAATGGGCCCCGGAGGGAAGAGAGAAAATGTCACGGGTGTGGGAAGCCGGGACATTTAGTAGCGCAATGTCCGCGCACCAGATGCTTCGAGTGCGGGACGGAAGGGCACATAGCAAGGCAGTGCCCATACATATTTCACAGGAGGGAGAGACCTCAGGACGAACCCATGGAGGTGAATGTGCAGAGGATGAAAAGACGAGCCAGGGTACATCAGCGGGACGGATCTTCGGAGGAGGCAACCGAGGAGTCAGGAGCGTCGGGAACGGAGACGGACGAACCAGGCAGCAGCGGAGGTGAAGGAGGTAGGCGCAGCCAACGGAGTGAGCAGCGACGAGCGGCGGCAGAAAGGAGGAAGCGGGACGACATCTGAGGAGTGTGTCGGCAGAGAGGCGACCGCACAGCAATATGCAACAACGTCCGAGGTAAGCCATGCTGGTTGCCAATTATCGAAGTAGACGGGGGAGTAAAGTGTCTTGTGGACACGGGTAGCTCGAGCACTATTATGACTCGAAGGGCGTTAGGAAAAGGGTGCGGGAGCGAGAGGGTACTCCGGATACAGAAATGTGACTGCCAGCTGATCACTCTGGGTGGTCCCTGTAGTGTAGAGGGTGAGGCGACAATTGGGCTTGATCGGTGGACAGGGAAAGAGGGTGAGCTAAGGGTGCATGTGGTGGAGAACATGACTCGGGAATACCAAGTCATAGTAGGGTGCGATTTGTTAGGTCAGGTAGGGGCGAGCATTAGAAATCGTAGAGGAGTCTGGAGCGTTAGGTTGGGAAAGAGGAAGTTCGGATGTATAGGGGTCGCGAGAGAAAGAAGGGTGCGGATAGGAGCGGTGGACAGAGTGGAGGACTGGAGGAAGTTGCTACAAGAGGAGTTTAGGGATATCTTCTTCAGGGAAGGTGAGGTATTAGGGGTAACAGGGAGGACGGTGCACGAAATCCCACTGAAACAGGAGAGGGTAACTTACGTGAAAGAGAGAAGATACCCGCAGGCGTTGAGACAGCATATTCGGGAGGAGCTAGATAGTCTAAAAGAACAGGGAATCATAGTTGATAGCACCTCACCATTCAATAGTCCCCTGTGGGCGGTGAAAAAGAAGGCAGCGCCGGGGGATAATAAGGAAAAATACAGGGTGGTAGTAGACTATCGTAAATTGAACGATAACACGGTAGACGAGAAGTACCCGATCCCGAGATTCGAGGATATACTCGATAGGTTGAGTGGGGCCGTGGTCTTTAGCACGCTGGACCTCAAGGCGGGATACCACCAAATACGGATGCACCCGGAAGACCAACACAAAACAGCGTTCACATTTGAAAGGGGGCATTATGAATTCACCAGAATGCCGTTTGGTCTGAAGAATGCGCCCATAACATTTCAGCGTCTGATGGACGAATTTTTGAGGGGCATCGATGACTCGGTATGCCAGGTATACATGGATGACCTGCTGATTTTTAGCAGAACGGAAACCGAGCACGTGGGACATCTGAGGGCAGTATTCGAAAGGCTCCGGCAATTCGGGCTGAAATTGTCAAGCGAGAAGTCTCTGCTGGGACAAACGCGGATCAATTTTTTAGGCCACACTATCTCTAGCGAGGGGGTCAGACCGGATGCGGCAAAGGTGGAGGCAATCACGCGGATGGCGGTACCACGGGACGTCAAGGGGATTCGTAGGCTTCTCGGGACGCTGAATTATTACCGGAGATTCGTACCCGAGATGGCAGAGTATTTGGTACCCATTAACAATTTGTTGAAGAAAGGCGCGAAGATTGTGGTGACACCAGAGATGGAGAATAACATTCGAAAATGTATGAATAGGTTGCTGACGGAGCCGGTGTTAGCGTTCCCGGATTTCGAGAAGCTTTTTAATATAACCACTGATGCGAGTGAATACGCGCTAGGGGCCGTTTTGTCCCAGGGGGGGAGTGAGGGTGAACGACCGATAGCATACGCGAGCCGTCGGCTTACGGGTGCGGAATCAAGGTACAGCGCTTTGGAGAGGGAGCTACTCGCGATAGTATGGGCTATCGACCATTTCAGGCCATACGTATTCGGGAGAAAATTTCGAGTCCATACCGACCACAAACCCCTCCAGTGGGTAGGAAAACTCAAGGAAACCTCAGCTAGGGTCACAAGATGGAAGGAGATCCTAAGCCAATACAACATAGAGGTGGTGTATAAGCCGGGAAAGGAAAACGTGGTGGCAGACTGGCTCTCGAGGGCCATCATGATCAACGCGGTTGAAGAGGACAGGGGAGGACCATCGCAGGACGTGCGTCAATTCTTGAGGGAATGGACTCCCGATGGCGAAGGGGCAAATGACACCGCAGGGATTGAGGACAGGGGAGATTCCCCAGAAGAGGAGAGCTCAGCGGAAGAAAGGGCAGCGGAGATGGAAGAAATAGAGGAGATCGTGAACGACAAACACCGTCAGGTGATTTGGAAGACACGAACAACCGGAATCATGAAGATCGATTTCAGAAGGTACGGGAGAAGTAGGATCCGCGTCATTTGGTCGCAGCCCGGGGTCAGCGAAGAACAAATCTGTACGGCACTGAGGGATGCCTCGGAAGCGGGTAAAACGCACTACCTATACGTGGGAAACAATACGGTATGGGATAAGATCAAGCGAATGTGGAGGTCCGAGCGAATAGGCGTGGACAGGACATTCATCCGGTGCAAGTATGCTGTGGAGACGGTACAGGACGAAGAGCAGCAGCAAGCAATCACAGTAGCATATCACCAGGGGAAAACCAATCACCGAGGCGTTAATGAGACGCTGCAGGCATTGCGTCGGAAGTATTTCTGGTGGGGCATGAAGAGGTCCATCCAGGAAGTCATTGGGAAATGCGAGATATGCATGCGCACAAAATACGATCGACACCCCCCCAGAGGAGTTCAGGAGGAGACACCTACAGGGAATATGCCGCTACAGGACCTTCAGATTGACACGTTTACCTGGAAAGGGTTTAAGTGGGTCACGGTAATCGACATATTCAGCAAGGTGGCGATGGCATACCAAGTGATGGAGAAGTCAGCCAATGCAGTTGCGGAAGCCCTACAAACCTGGGTGCAGTTCTATGGGGTCCCCGAGAGGATTACTTCGGACGGTGGTAGGGAGTTCGACAATGCCGCGATTAGGGAGGAGGTGAAGCGATTGGAAATTGCGTGGCATTATAACACCCCAGGACATCCTAAAGGTAGAGGCGGTATTGAACGGCTGCACAGTACGTTAAGCGACCACGTCCGTGTATATCAGGGTGAAAAAGGGTTGGAGCCGGATGTGGCAATGAGGAAAGCGGTAACAGCCTATAACCACTCGATCCACTCCGTAACGGGGTTTTCACCCATGGAAGTTCTATTCGGGATGCGCAGGCCAAGGCGGGATTATGGGGAAACTACGCTTACCGAACCGTTAGTGGATCAAATTCTCAGCAATAGGGTAGAGGTAGAGAAAACATGGGGAAAGATAACGGCGAGAATTAAGCGGGAAAAGCAGAAGCGGGTGGAAAGGCAGAATGTACAGGTACGCGACCAAATGGGGGAACTAAAAATAGGAACAATAGTTTACCGGAAATTGGGAACCAACAGAGGGAAACAATTGCTACGGTACGAGGGTCCATTCAGAGTGGTTGTTATTAGGGAGCATAACCTGGTAACTATTGAGAGCGTGAATGAGCCCAGAAAGAGGAGAACCGTTCATATCGAACAATTAAAGCTCCCAATGATAGAGTCGGGACATAGACCTACGGATTCGTAGTACCCTCACCGCTGTATATAAAACAGAGAAATATGTTTTTTTGTGGCTGTCAAAACAAAACAAGTTGTAAAAAATTTTTTTTTTGTATTATTTCATGTATAGAGGAAATTGTGTTTTTTTTTTGTTGTTGTTAGGAGTTCTCAAGTGGTAGGAGTTCTAAAGTGCTGTGTTTAGTTTCAGTGTTTTTAATTATTTTTTCTTTATTTATTATTTTTCCAGTTGAGTGGAACTATTTTATTTTCTTTTAAGGATATACTGTAAAACCAATTGTAAAGTGTTAAGGCTGGTCACCGTGGGCTCCGATCTAGGAATATTTAAGTTTCCGAAAATCCTGTTCGTAAACTGGTGGGGGGGGAGATAAAGACCGGAGACTGGCGGTATCAGCCTTAATACTATCTGGTAATGTAAATAAACAGGCTAAGTGTATATAAGGAGGCTTATGGAACGAATAAAGCAGTGTTATTTCAGAAGTCGTGTATGTTACATCTTTTCCCTTTTCCTTCTTTTTTTTTATTTCTTAAGTCCGACGACGCTTAACTTATATATATATATATATATATATATATATATATATATATATATATATATATATATAAATTTCCTCTGCTGTATATGTATATATATAATTAAAATTAATAGTTATTAAAAATAAAATTTAATTAATTTATTTACAAGTACGTAAAATATTGTACTAATATTGATTGACCTGTCTTGACCTTTAATCCTCTATCATGTTAAAAAAACATTTAAACCTGTTATTATTTCAATCATAAATAAAAAATTGCTAAATAGAAGGTTGATTTATCATTTAAATTAAGAATTAGATTGTTTGTTTGCTTAATTTAAATTTTGTAGTTATGACTAGGTACTTAATACGCTATTTTTATTTATGTTTTAGATGGTTTAAACAAATATCTGATGCAGCTGAGGCGTACAAAACAAAAGAAGGCAAAAACAAGCGAGTAGATGTAAGTTCTACTGAAGAACCCAGTGATATAACAGACAAAAGCAAAGAGTACGTATAGCTTATGATCAGTTACTACATACTTGTTAAGACATTTCAAATTTTTGAAAATTTCTACAAATTTCCCTTAAATTTTCTTTTATATACTCATATATTTGCTTTAAAACTGACTTATTTTTTATATTATCCTTTTTCTGAATTTAGGAAAAAAAAATCTCTATAACCGAAATTCTTTCCAGATTGGTTTATCACTCTTGGTCATTGATTTATTAAATAAAATTTATACATGCATATACTTATAATATTAAACATTTATGTATGTACTTATAATGTTTAATTTTTAATATTTATTGTTTTCTTAATTTCTCAATTAAGGGAAAATAAATATTTACTTTACCTAATCTTTTTTTTTTTTCTTTTTCCTGTTTTAGAATTGAAGATGTTGTGGAAAGTGATTTAATCGCACAGCAGGGAAGCCCGGTGCTCAACAGTACACCTCAGCCTGAGTCTCCGCAACCCTCTGCACCATCTCCGAGAGGTATGCATCCAAGTCCTAGACTCAAAAAAAATTATTTATAATTTAATAATACTACAACTTTCTATTGAGCTTTTGTTTTCACCTAAATCTGTTAGTTTTGTCAATAAATTAAAAATATTTTTTATCTCACTTCAGTCAGCGAGAGAGTCCGGAATGATGAGATGTTGGCTACCTACACTGAGGAGAGTTCCCTTGTTGAGCCTTCAGAAGTCGTCATTTCACAGCGAGATATACACACTGCTGAACCTGTCCTTACGCCTTTAGGTTTGTATTGCTCATTGCTTAGGTTTGTATTGCTTATTACTTTTAAATTTGTAAATAATACATTAATGAATGTGCTGAAAATGGTCAATTTTTCTATTGATCCCTCGATAACCCAAACACTTGCTTGGCTGTCTGAAGTTAAGAAACAAGTTTTAAATATTTGGTATATTAAATAAATTTGTTAACATAGGCTTTAGATGTATGTTTATGGGATAGGAGTTATATTTATCTACTCCCCGACTTGAATTTTAAACTATTGAAAGCCATTATAAAATGTCTGGCAATTCCTATTTGTTTCTCAAATGTTCCAGATACAAAAATTAATAAAACCTGGATTGATCTTACATATCTATAATAAAACAAAATATGTTTATTAGTTTCTATACAATCCTTGCAATAAACAATTTTTTTAATTAATTTTGTTCAGAGATTGGATTCTGATAGAAAATAAATTACTATTAGCAATTTTTTTTTGGAATTATTGTTTTCAAAATTAATACTTTTTTCCAAAATAATCATAGATTTTAAAAAGTTTTAATCAGTCTGCTTGGTGAATAATGAAAAACCCATAATTCGACCATAATTAGTTGTCAGTCCAGAAGTAAACTCATACAGCACCTTCCAACGTTACTTACATATATATATATATATATATATATATATATAAATTATAAGATTACAATATCATCTTTGTATCAGATATAGGTATATGTCTGTAAGTATTTCTTATGTAACATTAATTCCATTTTGACTCTACTATGCAGTTGCTTCTTTATTCTACTGGGGTGGTGATGTGATACAATAAAATAGTTGAATGCCCATTCTTTACTTTTGCTTAAGTGTAAAGAATGCTAGGTTAACCTATTCTATATTTTATGACGGCAATATGTAGCCATTTGTCTAGATTTAGTAGTTTTAATAACTTTAGAAGTTTCATTATTTATTACTAATTCACCTTTGTCTTATTTATTTATAGAAAAATTAAGGCGTAAAGATGAAATAGTTCGAGAAGCTCTGTTCGAGAAACAGGTACTGGTTGCAGATATCCTTCACATTCCCAGGGAGGAGTTTGATGCCATAGCAGATCTTGCTGGTGAGGCTACTACTGGTGACAAGGACCCCTCTGAGTTAATACTGGCAGCAGTTCAGCAAGGTTTGTTCATCCTGTCTCTTTGGATTCGGTCTCTCTTCGTGCCCTTCCTTGTTTAAAAATAATATAACGTTAATTAATCATCTTTACAGTATTCAAGTTACTAGAATTTTAATAACCTGGTATCTATCCCTTTAGTTCCCTTAATCAATCTTCTTAACCTTTAAAAAAAATTTCTTTTAGGAAATTTATTTTTTTAAATTAAACATGATTTTTAGGATGGTAAGTAGTTTTAAAAAATCTGGTGTGCCCATTACACAACTTTCACTTATCACACCAACTTTTACAATAAATGACGAAATAACCAAGTTATTTCCTTTATTATTATTTCTTACTCTACCTCTATCTATCTATCTATCTAGTAGCTGTCCTACATTTGCTACACTCATGTATAAACACTTATATATTAATAAATAAACAACTGTATACATAGAAATAATTAATAAAAAATATTAATAAATTAAATCTTATGGATACATAATAGACCATTATAATATATGACTTTAAATAAAATAGAAAATTCTCATATAAATAAGTTTTTAATTAGTATGTTGTATGTGATTTATTTGAATCAGATGTTTTATATTACAGCTAGTAATCTCTCATCGATTGTAAATGAAGCTCTTAGAGTTAGTGAAGAGGAAGTTGTAAGTGCTACTGTGAGTCCTGGACACATTCCATCAGTTCCTGCACATAAGTTGTATTCAATTGTCAATGCCTTGAATTCTCATCTCTCCCACCTACTTGTGAGTACATTTTCTTTTTGTACGGAATACTTAAGAATCACAATACACAATTTTAGGTATTATGTGAAACCAATTAACGAATATTTCAATCAAAACAGATCATTTTTTAAATTTATTTATTTATATTAATGACTCTATCTATACAGGTTCATTATCATATTTTTTTAATAATAGCACAGTTCATTTTAAAAACAAATAGTGTTTATTACTATTATTAAGTATTTAAATTCAGTACAGATTTTACTAGTTTTTCAATCATTCATTTGTTTTCTAGAATGTAATGAACGAGAGAGATGAAGAAAGAGAAAGATTAAGAAAAGAGCTCCAAAAATCTCGGGAACGGATTCATGCTATGCATGAGAGACATGAACATAATGGTAATGGTCAATTTATTCTGATTGGTATTAATTGATTGTTATAGCTATTATTAACATTGAATTTTAATGTATTTATTTGTTTTTTTATTTTTTACAGGTTTCCTAGAGCAAGAAAATTCCCAATCTGAGAATGTACAACCACCTCTTTCTTCTGAGGTTAGATATTTATTTAATATGATGTAGATCTTTGAATAAGTGAATAATTAAGATAAATTAACAAAAAATAAAATTCAGCTAAATAGATTTATTTTTAAAAATAGATACAAACGCAAAATTATGTTTAACTAATCATAATTAAGAGAAATTAGTTCTTTTCTCCAAAACATTCATTTTCTCGCCTTTCAATATGCTTTTCTGTCAATATTGTGCTTAGATTATTATTTTTTCTATGTATTTCTTCATGCTATCCAACAATTTTGTCCCTCTGGTAGAGTATTAGAACATATATATGATGATGATGCCCTGATCAACAGCTGGGTAGGATTTCAAGAATCTAATAATCCTAACTTTTGCTAAGGGTCATGTCCAAGTTACAGTAATTGATAAATAACAAGACTATTCCTTGTTGTTTCACAATTTTGTTAACTTATTATCAAGTTACTCAAAATTGCATATGAAAAAAAAGATTAAATAGCTGTTTTATTACAATTTAAAGTGTTTTTTTTTTAATTAGGTTTTTATCTATCACTCTGCTGGCCCCATTTGCAAAATAAAATAATTTAAAAAAAATATGCAATTCTAAATGTCTAATTGCAATAGAAAAACAAATTAGAAAACCTTCTTTTTTTCTCTCTCTGTTCTTTCCTATCTCACCTTTTAGGCTATACGGGATTTTCCCGAGCCGGAGGGTGAGGGCGGGGATTTAAAATTCCCTCTGGAACCGGGATGCGAACTCCTACTTTTTTTTAATCTCATATTCAGGTCATCTGTTGCCGGCAACTCGTGGTGTTGTGCACACAGCCCATTCGGCTGCCCCGCTCCCATAAAATTAGAAAACCTATTAAACGGAAGCTTTTATCCTTAATTTATAATTATTTTGACAATTTAAAATGGTCTAAAATAACATTTTAACTCTCTAGTCGTCTCTTTTAAGGCTAGTGCATGAAATATTCTAACTTTGGTTTACATTTGTGTAATCTTGTCTTGTTCTTTCTTAATGCCTCATTTTTCAATTATATTCTATATTTTTTATTTTTTTTATTTCTACTATCTTTAGTTAATTAAAGATTTTGCGATTTTAAAGGAGAAAAAAAATATATATATATATATACATATATAGCTTAAATAGTTTATCAAATTGATATTTTTTTAATTTTTATTCTAGACTCTTGAAGAAACTTTACCAGGTGAAACAGAAAACTCTCCCGGGGAAGAAGGTGACGAGAGCAGTCAACTGTTACCCTAGCCAAGAATTGAACCCCTATATCCTTTAAAACTTCCATTTGAAGCCCGGAACAGAGTACTGTAGCATTTAATGTTTCCCTGTTATTTATGCTCTGCCCTCCAAATCTCTACCCTCTTGTAATATGTATATTTGCATTATTCTATGTTATTTATTTTAATATGATATTTTTATATTTTAAGCCCCTGGCTTTGTAGGACATTGTGTAGTTTGTTCCTCTGAACTCTACCGTAGGTGTAAGGGAACTCGGTTTTAGTTGTATTTCATTGTTACCAAATTGAAATATGGCAAGGCATTCCAGACCATTTCATTTTGAGACTATTGTTGTATTGATTTAATTTTCTTTCAAGGTTAAGAAAAGTTAACGAGTCTAAAGGTTTTGGATGCTGCCTAGCTATGGTTGTTGCTTTAACGGTGCTCCCCACCTTTGGGGCCTCAGATTAACCGGCCATTGTAAATTATTTGTGTATAGCTGGCGATTTTATCGCTTTTTCTTTATGTATAGTAATATAATTAAAGTTATTATTTGTTAATAGACATTCGTTTAAATAATTGTTCAAACTGAAAGATTGCAAAATTATTTCATTAGGGAGTATCAGTAATCAAATATGCCTGTTGTTTTCTGATAAGTTTATTTGTTGTTGCTGGTTTTTATTATTTTTTTTAATAAGTTTTATTTTGATTTAATTTATTTTAAAGCATATAATATTTTGTAATATGTATACATATTATGAATTTGAGTGCTACTTAAATTACAATAATTGGCATTTATTTATGTTAGTTTAGATAATATATTAAAATAGCCAGTACAAAATGCAATGTATTAATAATTTGCATATTTATCAACATATTTCAATTGTGTAATATAACTATCATGGTGCTGTTTTCTAGAATTGTTATTAATAACTAAATCTGATTATGATTAATTTCTTAATATGTTAATGAAATTATTAATTTTCCACGATTGGACCGAAGTTTATATATCTATATATTTTTTAATTTTTTTAAAGCTATTTTCAGAGAAGAATGAACTTGTTGAATATTATTAAATGTATTTTATTTTTCCAAGATTCTTATAATAAATTTTAAATTGAATTGTTTTATTTTATAAGATAAATTAACTTATGTTTGACACTTAGTGTTATCTATTGCAAATATTATTGTATATATTTAATAAAATGGCATTTTATATTATTTGATTTTATTTCATTGAAGATGTATTGATATCTGTTTCTTTCCTATCTTATCCTGTGTGCTGAAACCAGAACTTAAGACGTAAACTATTCACAGTTTTATAATAAACTACACTTAAATTTCCTAACAAAGTAATAAATTATCGTACTTACATACTAAGAAAAATAGTATTTTATTGCATGTGAAATATTATCTATATTTTTAAATTATTATATATGGAGTAAGGTTTTGTCATTATCTTCTTTTTCTTGTAAATATAAGTGATCAGATATTTTTAATTTCTATTAAAAAGGTTCAATGAAAATCTTTAATACCTCATTTTTGGCAGAAGACAGCATCATGCTTCTTATGTTTTCATATTTTGTATTGTTCCTTTAAAATACTACAAGGCTCTAAAATATTGACTGTGTAGAATGAATTCCTTTAAGTATGTCATAAGATGATTGTTCAAAGTTGTTTCCTTTTTTATATTTGCTAAGCTTTTGATCTATTGTATTCAATAACAATAGAAACAAGTTCGGCAAAAGGGAAATACGTTAATAATATTACGCAATTATGGAATCTTTATGTTAGATATACTTGTAGAAAAAAAAAATGTTATTTTAGATGCTCATCTAACTCCATTATCTTTTCATGTAACACATCTCACTTATTGGGATTGATTTTTTAATATGTATTATCCTTAATGTCATCTACCGTACAAGATAATAAATTATTTCCTCATGTTTTGTTATTTTTAAAACAATTTACTGTAGGTTATATACCTGAATCTTGGCCAAAAAAATTTTTATTAAAAATGTCGTCAAGCTCGACTAATATCAATTAGTTACTGCTATAGTAATTAGAAATTAATTAACTTTTTATAAATGCTATTTTTTTTATGTTTATATTTTGCTAAATTTCTAGTTAATGAGCTGGCCTCTAATTACTATTTTGTGATATATTAGCGCATAAAAAAAATTTCAGGATTGTAACTTTAGCAGTAGGAAATATGTTTTGTATGACATGTCTTTTTATTAAATAAGTATAAATAGATAGTAATATCAGAAAAAAATTTGAAAATGATAACCAAATGGCAAGTTACAGTACATCAATTATCTTGAATGATTTATGTTAGATATTTTTAAAAAATGAATTATGTGTTGGTAGATGGCAATATTAGCTAATAACATCAATGTTTTCATTAATTTTTATTTATGTTCTTGGCTAATATAAGAAAGTATAATTGCTTGAAAATTATTGTTACTTTAATTTAACATTATCAGACATTGTTACTTTAATTTATCCTGTTTTTGCCTATATTTATTTGTTATTTTAAAATTTATATGTTATTCCACTGGCTCCCTTATTTTTGATTTTTTTTTAATGTCAACATTGTATATTTGTAAATATTGAAAGAAATATATATTTGTGGCATATAATTACATGCTCATAACACTGTGATGATATGTTTATATTAAAAATTATTCCCTTAAGATACACAAACGCTTTTTATAATTCAAATTATATATATATATATATATATATATATATATATATATTTCAAAGAACATACTTTTTTTGGAATATTTTTCATTTTATAGACATTTCATCTGTGAAAAAAGTAGTAATGAGTGATCATCAGTGAAATCACCATTGTCGTCTACTAAAGTGCACAATAAAATGGAGAAACTTTTCGATTTTTTAAAAACAAATAAATTATTCGAGTTTTGGAGTTACGTTACTCCTAAGATGTGAAGTTCTCATTTCAGATTACTTTAAAATAAATAAATTTTATACCAAGGAAACAGCAAACGCTGATAAATCAACAAAACACAATTTTTTTTTTTGCAATGTAGCCTAAACAAATTTTTTAAGTCTCCATAAAATTTTCTGTGCACATTTGTGTATCACAAACAGGAAGTAGATAGATATTAACTAACATAATTCAAAATTATGAGAATAAACAGTACCTAACATATTTATCAAAGAGACTTTGATAACATTTAGATTGAATATTTATTTTAAAAACAATGAAACCAAAATAAGTATTTAATACACAAACGGAATAATAATGTTTATATACTGTTATAAAAATCATTTTGAATCAAAGAATTTTATTTTTTAATCTAGGTCTAATTTATGTAATGGTTATTTTAAATTAATAGTTTTTGTCAGGTAACTGTAACTGTACAGTATTTACCATTCCAAATATTATTTTAAATTAATTTTTGTAAATTGTGAATTGATGGTTGACTGTAGTGAGTAATTAAAGAGGTTGGTTGGGGTAATCAGGTAAAATAAAAAATAGTAAAAATAAATAATTATATTTATTTTTACTAATTTTTGTAAAATTTGCCCTCTTCAATTGAATGTTGTCCAATGAACTAATTTAGTTTAGTAATTGTTCATACTGAGGGAGCAGGAGAGTCCTGAGGCACACCCAGCCTCTTTAAAAGTGGGTGCCTATAACAAAATGAATTAATTAAGGGTGGCAAACCTAGCAGTTGAGCATGATCTCAGTCAAATCACCTCCTTGTACAACAGTTGACCAAGTAATATTACTTTCCCTAAATACTACTGAACCCAAGACCCTTCATGGGTTGTGGTGGTACAGGTTTTTAATTGTCCATACAGCAGTATGGTTAATTGACAAGACAGTTAGTTATTTTAAGTAGTGTTTGGTTTATTTCTGACAAATATTTTTATACAAAAATAGTAACAAGGAAGCTTAACAAACTTGGAAGTTCAATACTGATGTTACCGAAGAATGCCTAAATTACCTCCTTCATAAAACTGAAAAACCAAATTGATCAGATTTACCTTTCTATCTATTTATATTTTCCCTTTTGGACCAGCATTTAATTTCTTTAGGTTCAAACAGATAATAACTTTTTTCCTCCCCTACGTCATCTTTCAGGTTATACAGAGTTTTTCCCAGACCAGAGTTCCCAAGTTCCCAGCAATGGAACTCAAAATTCATAGTCTTCAATTTATAAATTCTTTTGTACTCGTGTTAGCCCTCTCGGCAATCCTGTCCCTTAACAATTTTATAACTACAACATGCCCCTTTCAATCTGAAGTGACATAAATTATATTCACTGGGTACAGTTATTTAACCTATTCCCTGATATTTCCCCCAACTTGATATTATTCATACCAAATGATTCTCATGAACCAGAAGACATTTACATATAACAATGGGATTCATCATTCCATAAGAACTGAGTCCAGATATTATAATAATTATACTTGTAAATTATTCCATTCCTATTTTCATTTTTTTTTTTTTTTTTTTTAAGTGAAAGACATAATGGATTAATCAGTCCTTAAATAGTGTCACTCTATTTACATGCAGGTCATGATTCAATAACTGTTTTCATTATTGTTATTGATATGTTTGCTACTGAAGAAGAATTCTTTGATATTCTTTTTCATGTAAATAATAACTGAGAAATAAGTCCCTTGACAATCTGTTGTAGTCAGGATTTCATAAATAATTGTTTCTTTTTTCAATAGTTTCAACTAGTATTTGGATCTGGTCATCATATTATTTACAAAATCAGATTTTCTCTAAAGAATGCCAATCCAAGTCTTGTAATATTATATTATTAAACATTGAAAAAAATTAACTTGCACACTTCAAATCCTCTTTATTAAATTGTAATTGTTTACAGTTTACCATGCAATTTTAATTAGAAAGCCTGATTATAAAACCAACCTAAACATTTATCCTTAACAACCAAATGTAATTTTTTGAATTATGAACCTCTTAAGTGATGAAAATTCTCACTCAATATGAATGATTGAAATTTCATCTCATATAAAATAATGAGGAGATGAATATGTTTTATTTAGAGCTTGGTACACTCTTACATGAATCCTCATTTGCATACCCATGTGTACATAAATAACATACCAATCAGTTACTATCCTATCCTATTTATTTTATACCAATATAATATAATATAATAATAATATAATATAATTTATTTTATACCAATAATAAATAATAATAATATAATATAATTTATTTTATACCAATAATAATAATTATTTTATACATACCAATCAATTACTATCCTATCCTATTTATTTTAAGGTTACTTGCTTTATTTAATTGTTTACTTTTATTTACAAGCTGTGATGCCATACTGTATAGAATTGTTTAATAGTATACTACTAAACAGTGATTGCATTAGCGTGGAACAACCGGGGGAATTGTCCTGGAGAGGCACCGGCCGATCTTCAGGGGTGCTCGCCACTTGTAGAAAATAAAAAAAAAGTTAAAAAACGTATCAAAGTAATTAATTTTAGCCAACAATTAAACATCTGTATTAGAGATTTGATGAATGCAAGAAAATTCAAGTATTGCATAATATAGAGCAGCATAAGAAATAAATTTAATTTTTTTAGAGGATAAGGAGATAAAGTCATTGTCTGAGAGCGCTGAATGTCGCAGGCCGGCACTGCTATTCAAAACCTAAAGTAATAAAAATAAATTATTACTTTTACCTTTTGCCCAGATTATTCAATTAACTCTCAGAGAAACTCACATTGCACATCTTTTCCAGTGCAATTAATATAAGGCTTATAAACTCGATAAATAAATAATAAATAATCAGATGTTAAAATTATGAGGACACTTAGTATAAATTAAACACTTGCTATAGATTAAAAAATACAAAAGTAATTAAAGATCTGAATAAATGAAAATGTACGACCAAGAAAGACAGCAGAGTAAAAAAAAAAACCGGTACCACTAAATAATTACAGAGTCTTGGGCTTATTACAGAGGCTTAGTACTTTAACTGGAATAATTGTTTCTAGTCAAAAGGATATGCTAGGAGGTGATTTGCCTTATATCACTCTTAACTGCAAGGATTTTTTCCTTCATTAATTAAGATTACCCCCTTTATAGAGACTAAGTGTGTCCCAAGACGGTCTCCAGATATCCTAACCCCAGGACAGGTATACGGCTGATGTAAAAGATTTACCATAGGTGGACTTATAACTAGAACTGGGAGCAAACAAGCAGAATGCCTTCTTAATTACAGTGCCTCCCTAAAGTAAATGTAAACTCATTCGTAATATGTACGAAAGTTGAAAGTTTCATCTCTCGTCAGGGCTAAGCAAAACAAGATAAATTATGAAAGCATAGATGAACAAATATAGACATGTTAGTTAACACATAGAAAATACTGAATAATACTTTCAAAATTTTACATATAAAAACTTTATGAAAAATAAGTATTGAAATAAATGATATAATGGAATAGATAAAAATTTTTGTTTGTATATTTCGATGTTTTAAATAAACCTATATTTTTACAGCTCATGTCTTTTGATTTTCAAATCAAATGCAGCCTAAGATTTTTCTGTACATGAGTATACCAAGTATTCAATAGTTTCATATTCTCATAAGTATTTCCCACTAAATATAAGAATTGTATAGTCCTTAAACAATGATTTTACAATTTTATGATTGCATCTTGTTTTACTTAATTCATTACTGAGCTCTACAGTCCTTGAAGAACCAACCATGTCCTCTGCTATTCTTCTTCCACATGTCTCTGTGAGCAGCAAAGCGCTTTACACCCATCTCTTTCAGGCTGCCATCCACTTTGTCCAACCGTCTCAGTTGAGGTTTTCCCCATCTTTTTCCATCCCCCAGCTTTCTAAACAGCAGTTTTCTTGCATCTTGTTTTACTTAGTAAAGAGTTGCAATGTTCACAGAGATTAAAAATAAGTGCACATACATTATTTTATTCCTTGACCACAAACACCCACCTATTGTTTGTATAAACTTTCTAGGATTCAAAATCTTGTGATTCAGAAATGTTGACATTATTTTTGTCTTAAATTAAATCTGATTGAATCTTTCAATGAGTTTTTATTTCTAATTATGATTGGTAAATATATTTTTTTTATTTTAGTGAATATGCTTTTATCCAAAGTGTGTTTGACTACTATTTCATAATTCTTCGCTTACATATTTAAAGTGATTCAATAACATTAACATTATACCAAAGAGAAGTTTTTCTGTTTCCTAACATTTTATGAGCATGTAATTATACTTACATTTCACTTCTCAACATTGATCTTATTAATTGAATTTTTCATTTTGTACAATATCCTCTGTGTTCATTTAGATTCCAAATATTCAAAGTACATTAATTATTTAAAATGCCCTTAAACAATGTGTATAATTATAAAAAATAAGAATAAGGCATCTATTTATTATCACTGAAAAGGTTTTTGAAAACGAGTGTTCGCAATCATTAGAAAGAAATCTAGATACACTTCAAAATAGAAGAATTTATAAATCCAAAGAAACTTTCTTTTTTTTTGAGATTGCAAAAATTTCTAAATTGAACACTTAAGTTATAACCAATGTCTCAAAATGACTGATAATCACAGAATTGGTTCCAGGATGTCAAATAGTACTACACCGTGCTTTAAAGATGATTTTAAAATCAATAATTATTTGTAATCAAAGGGTACCCACAGAGTTTGATAATGGTATAAAAACTTCATCATGATAAAGAGATAAAGGAATGAAAGCAAAGTTAATTCAACTTACGGTAAAGAAACAGATACATTTAGAACTATTTCACATCGTTTTCTTGATCAAATATAATATAATATTTAAGGTAATCTACGTGTTGACCAAACACTTATTAAGTAAAAATTCTGTTTACTCATCTTTTCATTATGGATGCATGTAAAAAAAACTTACTTCTCAACAAGGTGTGATAAACATATAATTTCACATGAAATAGTAGTCAAACACACTTTGGATAAAAGCATATTCACTAAAATAAAAAAATATATTTACTAATCATAATTAGAAATAAAAACTCACTGAAAGATCCAATCAGATTTAATTTAAGACAAAAATAATGTCAACATTTCTGAATGATGAGAAATGAAATTCTGAATTGGTATTAAGTATTTGTTAAATAAATAATCATTATATAAATAATGCATTATCTGAATGAATAGTAGATATGCCTGCAGTTAAAAATAATCAAACATTTTTTATCATGGAACATAGAAAGTAAGTGCCTAATGTGATTTTCAGTTTATTGTGCTTATAAATAATCTTAAATAAATAAAGTCATAAAACGCCATTTCTAACAGAAAACAACAATAATAATAAAATACTAAAACTAAAGTATAGAAATAAAAATAGGTGAAGAGAACCACAAATATAACAACAATCTATATACTCCCCTCCGGTTACCCAGTTTCAAATTTGGCGCTCTACTTGTCAATGCTTCAAGTAAAGGTAATCTCAACAAATCCTGGCATACTTTTGATACAATGTAAAGCTATAAAGAAATTAATACGTTTTAAAAAGTTTAAAAAAATATTTTAAAAGTAAATCCCAATGAGATTAACTCAGTTCGATTGTCACATATCAAGGTTTCCAGTAGCCTGAAGGAGCACTTCAGTGTACGCACCCATTCGCCATCTTGTGTTGGTTTCAGTGCTGGCAACATTTATACTTTTGTATTTCAGCCTGCTTATATGCGAGATAAAGGTATTTGTTTTGTTGGTCATAACACTCCAGTGTTACCTTTCCCCGCATAAAATACTTTAGTTTTATTTGTTTTCAATAATATAACATTGATGTACTATGTTTCATTTTACCGATAATGCAATGAAACGAGTAAGGTTTAATAATAAAAGCTTCTGAAGGGAACCGCTATACAGTTTCCCATCTTTGTTGTGTTTCCTTGCTCTTTGTGTCAGTTAGCATTTTGAAAATAATTTTAGTAATGTGCTGTTTGTTAGATATTTAATTATTTTCCTTTGCCAAAAATTTAGATTTAGATTCAATTTTATATCAACAGTAAGAATCGTAGATACATACAGCTAATAACATTAAAACGTTTCTCAAATTATAATCATTTCCCTTACCATTTTTATTACAGATCTTTAGCATTTAAAAAATGACACAAGATTCAGAGAAGGGAAGTACAGTTTGTCTGGTTTGTAATGCCAGTATTGGAGTATCAACAAGAAATTGTTGTCCAATATTTAAGTTTAATGTCACCTCTTCTGAACAGCCTGTTGCAAATATCCTTAGTGTTATACTTGGACAAGAAGTGAGAAAAGAGATTGTGCATAGTGATATTATATGTAAAAAGTGCTATAAACTGTGTAATGAAGTTGATGAATTGCAAGAGCGATTGACTGAAATCAAAATGGAGCTAAATAACTATTACCAAAGAACACTAAGGTAAGATCTTTTATTTTGAAAAATGTTACTGTCCATCCTCTAACAAGGTTGATCTCTTTTTATTGCATATACAGTTTAATTGGTATGGTGGGGACAGTGCATCACCCTTGAACAATTGTAACCGGTATATTCTTGATTAGTGTTTTGGCATATTAATAATTTATAAAACTTACTCTTCCTATCTCTAATGCATTCTGAACTTTAATTAAGACTATTATGCTAGATACTGTGGCAGCATGATCAGTTTGGTGAAATTAAATTTCAAACTTTAATTCTGATCTCTGTAGTGATTGACGATTATCCATGGGAAATTTATGTCAATAATTGATCAACTTTCCTCATTATGCTTCAATCAGTTGTTGAAAATGAATTATATATAATTCTTTATTTTATTCAAATGTGCTGATAGGTGTATTTATATTTGAGCTACTAAAATTCAAAATGATCAAGAGTTATTTACCATTTGGCATCTAATTCACTTTTATAATTTCCATGCATGTTTTTTAATAATTATTTTGTTTTGAAAAATTATTGATTTGTTTAATCTGATCCTCAGCCCATTGAATTAGTTATTCTTTCTGTTTAATATCATTCCTAACCTTGTTCTTATGTTACTGTTTATTGGTATTATATTAAACAACTGTTGTAGAAATAGTGTTTAATAAATAAAATTTAAAAAAATACTTATTGTTTATTAGTTCATTTAATCTAAAACTGGTTCTGAAATTAAATGATAATATTGACTTCCTTTAATATATTATATGAACTATAGGTGATTAAGATGTATGCTGTCCTAAACATTCCGCAATATAAGTGATATGTTCCATATCCCTTATTTAGAATTCCTTTCATTAAATTCTATGACTTAAATGATTTCCTTAATTAGTCAATTTTTTTGGTATTTTAAAGTAATAAAAAAATAATAATATGAACTTTGGTGTGTACCAGGAGAATGCTTTTAAAAAAATAGAAAAATCAGTTCATATTCTGTGAGCTGTTCCTGAAAAGGAGGATGGATGGTTGTCCACAAGAGATTATGTACAAACCTTGCAAACACAGAGAGAAATTCTTTGAGATTGGGAGGCACTTTTATAGATTTGTTATTACAATTGTAACTGACATTCCAGTATATTCATCCATTGAGACTATGTAGTTTGTATGTCTGCTACCAGGCACACTGTCATGCATTTCGCCTAAGAAATATATTTTATTACATTTAATTGCTAATTAAAAATTGTTATATAAATATGTAAAAGGACAAACTGAACCAAGCTTAAAATGATCATTTATTGGTGTGACTCATGACACTATGTATATCCATATTTGAAATCATCTAGATTACCATAGAGTAAAGGTTCGCAAAGCTGGTGGTGCCGCATCTATGATGTTTAATCTCAATATTTAATAATTAAGGTAAAAATTGTCAATTTTGTGAATAGAAATTCTAAAAATTCATAACTATATATTTATCAAACAATCCAAAAAGATAAAATCTAAGTTAATTATTTAGTGAAGGAAGGAGATGGTCCGGGGTGTCGGTCATAAATAGTGGTAAATCTATTTTATTAAAATAGTTTTATCACTATTTAGCCTATTTATGACCGCCACCCCAGACCATCTCCTTCCTTTATAATGCAATGGTCAACTATTAAATATTCAAATTAATTATTTAGTTTATATATATTGTACCAAAAATGGGTCATTTTTATATTATCATTTTGATCATAACTGTGCTACGAGTTGTTTTTTTAGTCTGATAAGGGTGCCACAATTTTTTTTTTAAAATCTGACAAAGGTGTTGCATTAAAAAAGTTTGTGAACTAATGTCATAGAGTCACATCGTATCTAAAAGCCCTTATTCTCTCTTTAACTGGTATCAATAAATCTACTATACTTTTTTTGTTTTGCTCCTTAGTCTGTCTTTTAGTTAATTTTAATTTTTATTGACTGATAACTATATAAATCTGCCACAATTTTTTATCCTTAGGCCTGAGGTAAAACTGATTTATTTATCATGTAGTATTCAACCACAACAATAATTGAAATTTAATTGTGTATTCCATGCAATAAGTAGACTGTTTTTAAATCATGTTTTTCATTTTATTTGTTGCTTCTTTTAGGAAATTGGAAGGAGGAGAAGATGAAGAAGACCCAAACACTGGTCAAATAATATATATACCGAAAACTAAACCACCAGGACCATCAGGAAGGAGACCAGGTCGACCAAGGAAAAACCCTCCTCCAGTTAAAGTGGTAGTTGAAAATGGAGAAGAGGTTGGTTAAAAATTATTATAGTTTTTTTTTTTTAATAATTTTATTGAGGTATAATACATTTTACCACACTTAAGGCTACTGAGTATTAAAGCTGTAAGGTACATTCATACCATATTTACAATATATTGTTGTTAGAATTCAAATCTGTTCGATATTTTTAAAATTACATAGTCATTTTTCAGTTACTCAGGTTCCAAGAAAATCATTAATCAAAATAGATTTGAGTTTATTCTTTATCTCTATAGAGAGAAATTTAAGGATTGTTTGTATTAAATAAGGTGTTTCTTCATTAGTTGTAAATTATGTAGCTCCATCATTGGTTTTTACTTTCTTGGTAATAATAGATTGTTATAAAAGCCCTCTTGCCTAAGTATAGCTTTATTTCGTATTACATATTTTAAACATTATTGAATACTATTCTTCAAAGTAAAATCCGTTGTTTTCAACTACTTTCACCAATCTTTCTACCAGTAATTGGATTTGATGCCGATACCCCTCTTTTAGTTTTGAGCCAAAGAACTCTTCATATCCAATTTTTACGTCCTTGTAATGATCAAAGATCCGACCTTTTAAAAAATGAGCCATTGATGTAAACAATCCATAATCTGATGGTGCAATATCTGGACCCAATGCAGGATAAGGCAAAATGTTTACTGCTTGCAGTGACAATAATTTTTCCACAAAACTGTATAAACTCTGTCTAGCTGTTCACAGTCAAGGTTTGAGCTCGTTGTCAGACCATCAGGAACAAGCTCAAAATACAAAATGCCTTCAAAGTTCCACCAAACATAAAGCATAATTTTTTTTTCTAAGTGATTTTGTTGAACCTCAGGTTGTGCAGCCTCACCTGGCCATACCCACTGCTTACGTGTGCTAGAATTTTTTTTTAAATATTCACTGTTCGTCACTTTTGATAATTTTTTCCAGAACTTTTCGGATTTCTAAGCAAAACTGTAAATATCAACTTACTGCTCTGCTTGGGCCTCTGTCAGGTCATGTGGGTCAGACCTTGGTCTTAAATTCTATACAATCTGGTTTTTAAGATGACTAGCTACTGTGGCATTAGAAGCGGCCAATAAATCTTGAGTATTTGTGTATTATTCATAATTCACACATTCAAGAAAAACGCCATCCTCAATGACCAATCAGTGACCTGATCTGGGTTCATCTGCAAGGCTCATATTCCCATTGTTGAATCGCCTGAACCAATGTGTGGCAGTATTTTGATGGATAATTAACTCTTCTATGGTGGCTGCCTTAATGCTTAGATCTTCTTTCCAGTAATGTTAAAAAGACCGCGAATCATGATTTTTATTCTAATATTGCATGTGTCAGCCAACTCAAGTTACAAATAATTAAAGGATTAATCTAACTAATCGTTGGCATTAATTGTAGGAACAAAGACATTCTTCTTTAAGAATGTAGCTCCCAAAACATTAAGAATGTAGTTCAACATTAATCCTTTGATTAATTATGAGGGTTGAAATTAAGGGTTGTGTTCATGCACAAGGACTTTAGTAACAACCTAGTAATTATATTATTAATAAGAATAAACTTGTTTTTCTTGTATCACTTATACTTTGAATGTATCAGGAAGTGCAAGAATAAAGATCAAGTATGTAAGTTTTTGCTTAAGTAATTTTAATACAATATAAAACTTATCATAAAAAGGAGTTTTCCATCAGTTTCACTAAAACTTGTTGGATTTTTTGTTCTTGTCGAAATTACTTTGAACCTGTAGTCTTGGTCAGGTGTGGCAATTATCGACAAAACCTATGAAACACTATTCTTGACATGTCCCTAGGTTATGGTTCCAATTTGAAAGCACTGCAGCAATCTTGTGATTGTGATCAAAGTAGATCAAAAGCCCAATTAAGACATCCAGCTATATCATTTATTTATTACCTTACATTCTTGACTTTTCTTCACACTTCCTGCCTATAGGTCTAATTTAACAAATAAGCAATCTTAATTTATAGTTCTAATTTAACAAAAAACCAATCTTTATTTGTAGTGTTTTCTTTATTATTTTCATTTGGATATTTCAGGGATACTTAGTAGCTCTCAGCATCTAAATTTTAGGTCAGGGAGACAAATTATCTCCAAAACATCTAAAGAAAAATAAAAAATGAAGAAGATGATAGTCCGGGTCGGAAGTCATAAAAGGACTTAATATTGTGAAAAAACTATTTTATTTTAATAGTTTTTCTCTATTTTAAGTCTTTTTATGACTGCTACCCCGGACCATCTCCTTCTTCCTCAATTATTTACAACGGTCAACCATCAAGTATTCAAAAATAATAAAGAAAACACTAAGAGAGTTTATTTGTTAAATTAGACATATGGACAAAAGGTGAGGGGAAAATAATTATTTATGTTTTATTTTCTCGTCCTCCAGTTGAGCATTCATCACTTGATCATGCAATATTTTGCCAATGAGAACATAAACCAATGTTTGTGTTCCCTGTTCTTAACAAGTCTTCAGCAAGATAGTAAGATCTCTTTTTCTATGTTTCCTCTGGACTGAAGAAGTAGGTAGAGGTCAGTCAGGTGATGTTGCCTAGATCTTAACTATTAATTATTATTATACTAGGAATTGCTGTCATGTAATGCTTTTTTAAATAACTCTATTTTATCTTCAGGATGTTGAAATGGTCGAGGAAGCTTTAAGTGAAGAAGAGGATGTGAGAGGAATAGGCATGGATGATGTAACCGATGCAGATTATATTCCTACAAACAGGCCACGTCCCTCTGATGGTTTGAGGAGGGTGCAAGAAGTTCTTATGTCAGGCAATAATGAAGTTCAGATAAAATTAGAAGCAATCGAAGAAGAGAGTCAATCATCACCTGATCAAAAAAACATGTTAAATAAAAAGAAATTGATTAATAAAAAAAAGGATTCGGATGTACCAGCTGTAATTCCGCAAATGGTAATTTTTTGTTGTGAAATTGTACTTGGTAAGAAATTGGTAGAGGGTGCTGTCATTAATGAAATTACATATGCAAAAAACTTCTTATTGCTTCCTGACTACGAAAGGTAGGGAAGCATTGTATTCGTATGAGAGTTTAAAAAAAAAATTTGTGCTCAGAATCAAAAATTTTCACTCACGATTTACGTTTCAGACATCTAGGATCAAATTTGGTTCGATGTCTGTCTGTCTGTAATCAAATCGATGTGACGAGCATATCATCTACTATTTTTTATCTAATTTTCAGGGATGGTGTGGGTTGGGTCTCATATCAATTTTATCAAATTCCATCCACCACTTCCTCTTGCGCACGTGTAAATGTATTTTCATAGATATGCCAATATTTCAGAAACTGCTCATTCGATTTGGCTCAAAGTTGAAAGAAAGATGAATTTTGGTAAAATTATGATTCGATGTCGATTTTATTGAATTCTATTGTCTACTTTCTTTTATATATGCACAAACGCGTTTTCCTTAATGCGTCTGTATCAACTGCTAGTTCGATTTGGCCCAAATTTGGAGGGAAGTTATGGATTAGTTAACAGATAATTAAATAAGTATCAATTTTATCAAATTCTTTGCACTACTTTCAAATAAAACTTGCATGACACTTACAGCCTTCACTTAGATTTCATGTAATTTTAATTAGCATTTATTTTTTTGAGAGACTGACTCCAGAAATGACGTAGGCGAAATCCCTAAATAGCAGGACAATTTAATGTTCACTGAACAAATTATTGCTACATTAATAATGAATATATAACGGAGGACACATCAAGACTTGAAAATGGTCCTTAGTATGGTCAAAACGTCGTAATTAAATAGCGTAATAATAAAATGTTTGGTGATAATTGGCCTAATTTACGTAAAAAATAAAACCTCAAGACACCAATTTTAGGAAAAATGAACAGAAGAAATTGACATTTACTTTTTTTGCTTAGTAAAAAAAGTCTTATTTGTGATTTTATATGTTTCTATTGAAGTTCAACCGGCTCATTGTTGTCTTGATTTCCTCCTTAATCATCAAAGTTGTGTAAACTTCAATCATATTTTTATATTCCAGCTAAAATTAGTTTAATTCTGACTGAGGGAAAATATTGGTGTCGTTAACTCCGAAACAAAAAAAGTTTAATTTTTTGTTCTATCCATTTCACTAGTGAAAACATTCTTATTAAGTATATATCGCTAGTATTAGTGCAAAAGATCCTATATAACAATTTTCCATTTTTATCCTATTGGTGCTAAAGGTTACATTTCTTAATATGCAGCTGCAGTAGGCAGCCTGGTACTGTGGAAAACAGCAGAGGAAAATAAAATATGAAATTACACTAATAAATCATAAAGAAATAATTAGTTTTTGTGCTCTCCTGTTAAACACTCAATTTTTACATGTAACCTTTTCCACTAACAGTAGTGATATATGTCATCAGTATGTACTGGAATTTTTTTTTTTTTTTTTACAACAATTCATCAAATACACGATTTGCAAATGTAGAACTCTTCGCATTTTATTATTCACTGAGGAACAAAATTGGTTGATATCAAACCCTGCAAATTTTAATGAGTTACTGTAGTTCCAAAAACGGCCTCTCCTGTAGATTTTATTCTTATACTAAAAAGTATAGACTTTGAAATATAGGTACTGTTTATCAAATGAAAACAGTGAGGAAACTATACTGGCCTTATTTGGCAGACGTTTTTGTATGAAATTTCATTTATGACTGCATCCAATTTCTACTATTAAATCTGTTTGCTTAAATAAAAATAATTTGTTTACTTTTTTTCTACTTATTTGAGTTAGTTTATAAGTTGGAAAATTTTAATAATAGATGTATACAGAATTTTTTTTCTTACTAGATTCTCTCTGTTAAATACCATGAACATTATATAGGCAGTCATTTTACTTTCTTGAGTGTTTAATGTTATGTCTAATATTAATGGTGGTGTGGAGATATTTAAAGAGAATTTAAAACCGATGATGTTTGAGGATGATGAAGGTCACAGTGGTTGTTGGCTAAGGCAAAGGATCAAGTGTAATATTTGAAACAATAGCACATATGTAACATTCGTCTGGCCACAACAGTCATTCCACATATTGAGTGCTTGATAGAAAATTTGAATGAACTTGGAGTATTATATTTGTTCAAAAGGGTTTGCCCGAAATTCACTCAAGTACATAGATAACCATCTTCATTTTCATGCTTCTTATATTGAGTCTTAATGGATTTATTTGTCACCTCACTTTTCTGCTTAATTTTGTTTAAAATTTCATCTATCAATTACGATTGCCAGCTTCTCAAAATACTCAGGCTGTAATGAACTATTGCCATTTTTTATTCCCATCCAAACACCTAGGCTTTGGAGAATGATTAGCTCTAGAGGAGATGAAAATTGTCTTCAGTTAGACTGAAGAGGCCAGTACTGCTCTTTAACTTGATCTTTAGTGGAGGCTGTGACCTTGTACTTGGCATTCTCCGCAGCTGATATTCGGAGGTTAAGATCCTTTTCTAAGGCTATGCTACTTGTCAAAAAAACAAATCAAACCTACAAAAAATCCAGCTCACTTTGGTCTCAATTATTTTAACTATAACTGCTCAAACCTAACCTTATTCAATAGTAAATTCAATATCATAAATTGTTAATTTAGTCATAACCAGTGTTTCACAAGTTTTATTTTTATGATTTCTAATGTGTGTATGATGTTGATGTGTCTAATTAAAGTATAAGTTTAATTATTGTTTAAAAAAAAAAAGGAAATTTAATATTGTTTTGTTTATATTGTAGGTACTATTTCTAATCTAAACTATTCTGTTTGTTTACAGATCGTGAGTAGAGATAACAAAGTTTATACTTGTTTGATTTGTTCAGCAGATGAGAAAGTACAGGGTGATGCAAAGACAATAATATCACATATGAAAAGTGCTCATGAAATCCGACTTTATATTTGTGATATATGTGGTGTAGAATTTTTAAAGAGGGCCGAAATGTCGGCTCATTTTGACGAACACGTAGCCACTGAAGAAGGAGATTTTCAGTGTGATGTTTGCAATAGGATATTCACCAACCTTAGGCTCTTTAGGGTGCACAAGCGGATGCATATGCCTCAACCCAAGAATCATGTTTGTGAAACATGTGGAAAGGGTTTTTTGTAAGTCTGTTTTATATGCAAAAACCATTTATTTAATATATTCATGATTTTTTTTTTCCATTAAATTATTGCCATGTTTTTCTAATTGTGTTATGTACCAGGTGTGTAAATATTAAATCGGAATTCCTCCATACATGGCTCTAGTTATAATGGCAGTTATTTTTAAACCTTATTTTGATTAAACAGTACTTAATACCTGAAGGAGAACTTTAATATCTTCAGCGCTCGAACCATGTCCTGATAATGACCCACATGTTTGGGTTGAAGCCTCGACACCAATAACTACTTTAAAATGACTGTGTCCTTTGTATTAATCACATAAATTTTATATATTTTTTTCAAATGGAAAATTAAGCAGGAAATTTCATTTAATTTCCTTGAAAACATGGGATTTACACTAAATAATATAAGTTTTCAAAAATTATTATTAATCATTTTTTGCCACTCTCCATAACCTTCTACAACTTTCTATATTAGCTATTTTTTTTTTTTTTTAAATTCTCCGCTTTCCAACGATATATTATATGACCGATATTTCCTGAGATTCATTTTCGACCTGGATAAGTATTTTTATTTTTTTCTCCTTTAGTCAATTATCACATTCTTTCAAAATTTATATTTAACCTTTGTTTATTACTACTAACAATAAAAGATTGTTAATTATTTAAAATAAACTAAATTAAAGGTTCTTTAAAGGAAGAAATTGTGAACATTGGGCTCTTTAGCTCTGTTAAGGGACATCAATGGGGATAGGATCTACCTGATAAATAAAACCATTTGATTATACATTGATACACTGAGTTTAATTAAAATCGTTAGAACCTTTTTCGAAAAAAATTTAAAAACATGGATGATGTAAAGTTTAGCACTTCCGGTTAGCTGATTTTCAGGAAAAAGTTGCTTTAACATCCAATGTATATATCTACCTTAAATACAAAATATCAGTTTCGTTTTTGAGCTAGACTGTTAAAACACACATATAGAGACCAATGAAGAAAACAATTGAGACATTCAGTTAGGAATTCTTAGCGCATGCAGCTTACTTTAAGGCTTTCCAAATTTGGCTCCGTCTCACTACTATTCATTTGCTTCATTGGAGCATGCCACTTGCTCAGCAGGGTTTCATTAAGAAGAAAAAAATGTGTGAAAATGGTTTGATGGCTAGGGCAACAGTTTTTCTACTATGGAATTCATAGATTGTCAGAGATATGAGGGAGAAATGTGTGTATATATGCTGGCGATGTACATTATTTTGAGTAAAATATTTTTAATATATTTATGCAATAAACATGTATTTTCACACAAAAATTCCGTTTTCTTGCAAATCTTGTAGGACTTAAATTCTTAAAAATTTACTCTTTGAATGAATCAGTATCAAAAATCCTGTTGGAAACGATCTAATTTGTTAATAATGTTTAATAAATATTTATATTTAACTCGCAATCAATACATTAGCACTATTATTATACTATGAGAAGGAGTTGGTTGGGGGGGTGCGGTCAAATAGATACTACATTTTAAAAATTAGTATTTTTAATTATTATGCCGACATTTCGATCCACTTCGTAGATCTTCATCAGAGCGTAGCTAACCTAATGTCGAGGTATGTGTGTGCAGAGACAGTATATGCAAGTTATAAGAAGGCCTCGACAGTGCGTGGTCATTATTAGAGGAGTAAGATGACTGAATGGCTGTAGGAAGATGATTAGATGGATGGCCTCAAGTGACAGGCTGATCAGCACCCAATCAATCTCGGCTTGCGATGTAAGGGATTAGTCTTGACACTCCGCAAGGATGGTAACCACAACCGGAGGGATCAAACTCCGGACTTATGGGAGGATGAGATACTGACGGAAGGATCAATCTCCAGACTCAGTATATAGGACTGCAAGCGGACGGATCAGCGTCCCACTTACATGGAGATAGAGAAGAGGATAAAGGTTTCAGATTGATGATATATAAGAACAGCAAACTAAGGTGAACCAAATGTGTATAAGATACACATACTGACCGTCTGCATATAGGTCTACACCCTGAAGGGGTGGAGCTCCGTAGAACTGACAACTTGAGGTTTGACTGGGGTATTCATTCCGGCAAGACTAAACCGGCTACCAAGAGCCGTTACTATAACAGTTATTTTGAGCTTTGGCCAGTATATGTTACATCGTCGTAATGATTAAAAATACTAATTTTTAAAATGTATTTATTTCACCCCCCCCCCTTCCCAATATTTAAATAAATAAACTTATAATATTTTTATTGTTTTTATTTATTTAGGTCTCGTAATATGTTGGATGAACATATGAATATGCACACTGGACTTAGGCCTTATAAATGTGGTGAATGTGGCAAGGAATTTGCTTCGAAGTATTCATCTAAAGCGCATGAAAAAATCCATTTGGATAGGCCTAGACCATTTAAATGTCCGACTTGTGGTAAAGCTTTTATAACTGAACAGAACTTGCATCAGCATGAAAAGATACACACTGCTATTCGCTCTCATACTTGTCAGATATGTGGTAATTATTTTTATTAATAATTTCTTAATTGTATGGGGTAAATATATATTGCATAATTTATATTAATGCCACACTTTATTTAATAACGACTCGCGATTAATTACTTTTGTAAATGGAAATAGTACACAAGAGTATCTCTCCCTGCGTCAGAAAATTCCTAGATCATCTGCTGACAGGGGCAGCTTTAAAATTTGAATTATCGTGAGCCCAATGGGTCTTTGATCTCTCTTCATACCTTTCCTCCCCTAATTAATTCTATCTCTAGACAAATGTCCATTAGAACATTTTTTTGACCTTAAAATGCAGAGTCCGGTCGATGTCAAATTTTTAAAAAATTGTTTGTGACCGCATTGAATATGTCAGTGTCATGAAAATTATCACAAACTATCAGCTAACCTCCAAAATCCATTCATAAGTTAACTTAAGGGGGGGATGCTGGCAACCTCACACCTAGTTCTTTAAAAATCAGTATTATATCGTAAGTAGAATCTTTGTATCCATCTTTGCAGAATATTAGTTTATGGTTCATCAAATGGATCGTGAATTGATTTTAAATATTCGTTGGCCTTTTCAAGTAAAATATGCCTTAATCCTGATAGTGGAATATTGAGAACGAATTGATTGTCATTGTTTTTTGGTTTTAAAGGATTCATCACATTCTGCATGCTCCTGAATAGATTCCCAATTTTTTCAAATTGTTGAAAGACTTCCATTTAATTCTTGATTAAGGTTACTATTAGGGATGAGTATGTACTCATCCCTCTCTAGTCGCCAACGAATATGGGATTTTTTTCTATTTTCTCAAAAAGGAAAAGCTTTTTGCTCTTGCATATTTTTATTACAGAAATATTAATTTAATGCTAATATTCGGGACTGGGGATAAAATTGATCGTATAAATGTGATGCTTACATAGAGTTTGAATGAAATAAAAGATTTCCTAGATAAGTGCGAATATAAACATAAAGATTTGATGAGTTCTGAGAGCCAACTGTAAGTATATCGTATAATTTTTTTCTGGAAATTCTAATTAATTGAATTGTTAAATCCAATCGGTCTCTATATCCAATAAAAGCTACATAACAAAAACCTTTTGTTAAGTAGCTTTCAGTGCAATTCATTGACTGGCAAACCCATTTGTCTGGTATTTACCAAAAATGTCAAAATTGGTAGCATTAGTATGCTGTTTGTGGTAATAAAGAAACTAAATTACTTATGATGAACTACATTTAAATAAGCATCACCCGTAGCTCACTTTATTTTATAACAGAGAAAAGCAAAGCTTTTTACATCTAGTATCAAGTTTTACCTCCACTCCAGTTTATGAAAATAAAGTAAAGTCAATAAAAATAAATTACTAGAAATTTAGTTTTTTAAAATTAAAAATCCAATCAAGTTAAAAAAAATGCCTCTTCTAAAACTGTATATTTCTTATTTAAAAAACTTTTTTTTTTTTTTTAATCAATAAATAAATTTAGTCATGAATTATGCATTTTTAATATTTATGTCCCCGGAAATATTAGTCAGAGAAAATTATCATTAAGTAGGGAAAAGTCAGGGAATTACTTTAACAGTCTGTTAGCCTAGTGTGAAAATCCGGTTCTCATCTTGGCTTTGAAATCATTACAATATCTTCATCGCAACTTTGATCAAGAAACTTTACAATGTAAACGATTCTTTGGCAATAAGGTTCGCAGTGATCTCTAGTCGTTAAAATCAAAACTCATAACTACAATGTTTTGATAAAGAAACCTAACATTGTAAACGAGCCATAAGACAATTTTTAAAAATTTTACTTTGACTGTGAGTTCAGAATCCAATTATATAGGATTTTGTAAATTACCGATTATAAAATATTCAGTAGGATAGATAACTTTAATTTATAACCACTATTATACCATTGATTGTAAATGTTTGTTTGTTTTTTTCTAGGTAAATCATTCAGCTCCTCAAGAAATTTGGAAGTGCATTGTGTTATACATACTGGATATAAACCGTTTATCTGTAGAGTGTGCGGTAAAGCATTTGCTCGTAAAGCTGAAATACGAGACCATGAACGTACCCACACTGGGGAAAAGCCGTACCAGTGTGAATTTTGTGGAGCCACATTTGGGTGAGTAATTACAGGATTTTTTTAAATTGATCTTCATTTTTGGTGCTTTATAATCTTTCATTTGTTTTAAGAGTAATTTTATAAGAAATTAATAATTATTTATTTCAGGCAAAGAAGTAATCTTCAATCTCACAAGAGGGCAACTCACTACGATGATAAAAGGTATCAATGTATTGAATGTGGCAAAGCGTTCAAACGTCGTAGGCTACTTGATTATCACATCAAGGCGGCACATACCGGCGAGCGTCCCTATAAATGTCAAATCTGTAATGCTACATTTATTTATCCTGAACATTTTAAAAAACACCGAAGGATTCATACTGGGGAGAAGCCATATCAGTGTGAAGTAAGTTATTTTTATTAAACTTTGCTTTAAATCTGAGATATTATATAAAATTAATGCTAAATATTCATCATATCAATTTTTATTTTTGTAAACAGATTAATTTCGAAATTACAATTGTAATAGCTAAAACGCATTTGGCATAATGGTTTTGATTCTTCCTTCCTTTTACAAAATTTAAAATACTGAATATGTTTGGAACTTATGAACTTACTTCTTAAATTGTGCATGGAGACAAGGTCTCTTGCAGTCATCCCTGTTCCTTGCTGCAGTCTTGTCACCTTTTTGTAAACTAGACATATTACAGTCTCACTCCATTCATTGGGCATTTTCTCCTATTACCAGACGTCCATCAATAGGTTGTGCATATATTTTACTATTTCCTCGCCATCATACTTGAAAAGTTCCACATTTAATTCATCTCTTTCTTCTGCTTTGCTATTTCTAAGCATCTGGATAGTATTTCAGACTTCATCCTTGTCCAGGGACTCAATGTCATCCTCAGGTGGTTAGATATCCATGTCTTGCTCTGTATCATCTCCATCTAGCAAGATAAGGAGAGCCCTAACTCGTTCCTCCATCCGGGGCGGCTACCTTGATATGGGAACCCTAGGGTGTGTACTGTAGTGTACTGGATGAACGTCAGAGTACTGTTCCCCCAACCTGGAGAGGAGGAGGCAGTGGCTAGGTGTAATCTGTGATATATTTACTGGGTGAGGGGCCTCCCATCTCCCTACGCTTACTTTGAACTTATGTGGGGAACTTTAAGTTGACTCTATTATGTTTTATATTTTAAAATTGACTATTGTTTTCAGGTTTGTGGAAAAGCTTTTAATAGCCGTGACAATAGAAATGCACACAGATTTGTGCATAGTGATAAGAAACCTTACGAATGTTTGGTTTGTGGAATGGGCTTTATGAGAAAGCCCCAGCTTTACAATCACATGCAAACTCAGGTATTTTCTGTTATTTAATACTTTATTATTATTAGTGTAGCAATTAATCATTTGTACTTATGTAGATTACAGATTTTTTACCTAATATTAAAACACCCCAATTTTCTGCTGTACAGTCTGCTGTACAGTTAGTGTCATCTAATAATTATTACAATTAATGAGTATAAGTGTGAATATAACGAGTATCAGTAATTAATAAGAGGCATTCTTTTGTAAGCCATGTTATGAGCTGGGTATGGTTCTTTGTAAAATTTAAATAACTAAACATAAGTTATTACTACTAGTCTGAAATTCTCTAAGCAAACTCAATCATAAAACTTTAATAGTACCACAATTACATAATTACAACTGAAAATAAAATTTAATGACCACGCCAATTTTATTCTTGATTCAATAGCACTATAAACATAGGAAAAATCTGGCCTGATTACAATTATAATTACTGTATTATCGTACTCGTAATCGTAATGTTTGACTATGAATATGCCCATCCATGGTGCCTATTATTAGAATATAAAAATTTTTATCCCCCAGAAAATTATATTTATTGCATTGTATGACAGGTGGGTTAAGTTAAGTTAGTCGTGAAATTAGCTAACTAGATTAGTGTGGGGAAGCAGTGTGGTGTACCCTATAATCTCTCTCTCATATCTTCATGCCTAATGCCTTATTATATTCTTTTATTGCTTGGTTATTAGAAATTTCATGCCTAATAGTACAGTAACAGGAATATACTAGTGTACCTTATTAATCAATCATATTAGCCATTTTTTGCCATTTACCTTTTCGATTCATTTTTAGTTCGTCGTCGTAGGCTATCATAAATAGCAATATTTTAATTTTTAAAATCTAATTATGTGGTAAGTATGGTATCCCATGGCAACCATAGTGCCTAAAAGGCTTTCGGTAAGAATTACATTTATCTTAAAAACGATACATTTTTCTGCTTCAAAGCGCAAAGCCTGATACATTTTTTTTTTTTTTTTTTTAAATAAACCAGATCTTGATGTCAGTGTTGATATCTTTAAATTAATTTATTCCATCTATCTGTCGACTTTTGAAACCTCCCAATTTTTTTTAATGATAAATTGTAGTTTTAGTAAGATTTTAATTTTTGAAATTTAATTAGTCAGCTGAGTTTAATCAGTTATTTGAATTTTTTCACTTCTACATGAATTTCCCTTTTGTTTGATACCTTATTCAGCAAAATCCATTGCTCTTGAGAGTCGGAAAAGGGATTTATTCTACTGTATTATACAGAATTTCCTGTATAAGGAAATATTCATAGGAGTAATATCATACCTTCAATAGTTATAAAAACGTTTATATTAACATAACTTAACTTCAAACTAGACAAAATTTACTTTTAACAGAAATAGATATTGTCATCGTTCAAATCATTTAAACAGAACTTTTGAGCAGCTATTATAGCTAAGTTCTGTTTTTAAAAAAATCATAAATTATTAATTATTAAATTATATTTTTTTATCACCCTCCAACAATACTACAGAAAAACTTCCTCATTTAATAAGCTCCAGGTTTTTTTTACTTTCACTTACGTATATATATATAATATATAGTAAGGGTAAGTATTGCAATCGAGAAATTTTTTGAATCTGAGTTATCAACGAAAATACACGTTTTGGTGTATCCTGAGTCCAAATAACCAAGTCCCGAAAAATGGTCTGTGTGTATGTTAGCAGTCTAGCTCAAAAATGAAAAGTCATACAAAACTGATATTAGGTATTTAAGATAGGTTTTTAATTTTCTATGCCAATCCCTTCCACGGCTGTCAGGGATATTGTCATAATAATTCTGCTTTAAGAGCTGATGAAAATTTATTGCTGTGGACTGTAAAATTAGAGGAGTTAATGGATTAAAGAAGTGGATATATAAATTTGATTGCTTTATTTTATTACATTTAATTTTATACAGAGGTTAAATATAGGTGGGTTGGGATACTTGCATTTTCTCTTTTCTTCTATTTGCCAGTCTTCTTGTTCATTTTCTCTCTCTTCCTTTCTTGGCCCCTTGCCGGCCGCTGTAGTTTTTTACTCCATGTTTAGTAAATCAATGGAATTACAAATCTCTCACGCTACGTGAGCGCCTACGCTTCAGTAATGACGGCGTCACAACAAACAACTGAGGTGTATATGCAGTATGCTCGAGATAACAGCTGTGTTGTGTTTACTTGATTTAATTTAAATTAAATTTAAATATGAAGTTTGATGTGTTCCTTAAACAATAGGTATATGCCTTAGATGTGACAGCAACTTTTTCCTTAAAATCGGCTAACCGGAAGTGCCACTTCATATCTACTGTGAAACGCATTTTCACAAAACCGGCTTAAACGATTTTTATTAAACTCGGTTTTCAAGGAAATTAAATGAAATTTACTTACTAAATGTATTATTTTCCAATTGTTCGGTTTGGCCTAAAAATGGTGTCTGTGAACTATTAGTCATTTCTTAAATAACCAATTCAATTGTGGTTTTGTAAATATTAAAAATTAATAATAATTTATATCAATTTTTCTTCAATTTAGGGCCACGTGAATGATACAATAGTTGTGAACCAACCTCGACTCACAACAGATGAAGATTTTATTCAGCAAGCAACTGAAGACGTTCAAGTAGAAATGTCCATGCTTGAAGGAAACCATCCCAAATGGCATAATGACCCGGTCCTTGATGAAAATGTAAGTATATTTATCAATACAAATAAACAAAATCAGTGTGTGATAATTATTGTTTACATTTTTTTTTCTTCCTCATGAGGATGGTGATGGTGGCCAGGACACTAAAATGTATATCAGTGAGCTCAAGGAGCACGTGATAATCCAGGGTAAAGCTCAGGGTGTGACAGAAAATGGTCAATACCAGGAGCAAGTGGGTCATTTGATCATTGATGGGCAGGTAAGCTAGAAATTACTTGCTAGGTCTAATTTTTAAATTTTAAGGATACAATTTTATTGAATACTTGATAAACATAAACCAAGATTTAAAAATCTGCTTTATTCTAATTATAACAAGCTCATTTTACGTAAATAAACAAATTGTTGGCTGATGAGGTGAATTGATTTTCTTTATCTACTAAAATCTGTTTTGTTGAAAATTAAGGAATCTGCTGAGGTTCTTTGTGGTTGTAAAAACGTAAATAATTGGGGGAATGATCTTGAGGAAGGTCTAATTAATCATCCAAATACCAAAAACATATCTTTAAAACTGAGAGAAGGAAAAAGCAAAAGAAACAGAGGGTTTAAGACTAATTTCTGACACGGCTTTGTTGAATTTTTATGAATTTTTTCTTAGTTCCTACACACACTCCCTTGGTTATTTACTGCTAACTCCTTATTTTCTTCAATTAATATTACAATATTAAGGCATCTGGTCTCATTTCAATTGTATTCAGTATGCAAAAGATAACAATTTATCCATGGCAACAGTTCCTTCTCCTACAAAGAATAAGGCTATTTCCTAATTGGCAAAGTATAGCAGATGAACAGGTGAGGAGGGATGAAAAAATCAAACATAAGGTGTGTAGGTGGGTGTCTTAACTGAGCAGTTGTAGTTAAAATGAGGCCCCTAAGCCATATTCCTTATTTTTATTTTATCATTGCCATTGTGTAGGTCTAATCATGCATTTGTCCATAGCCTAAGAGAAGAAGCCAGTGGTTGATTTTTTTTTTAAGTCTCATATTGATATTAAAATAAGATAATTAATCAAATTGATAGAGTTTTTTAAGAAAATTTAACAACATTAAATCAATATTAAACTTATTTAAAATCTTGAGCAGGTGCACTTTGCCGACGGTGAGTCTCTGGAACTTGAAGGAGGCTCTTCACTGGCAGAAACTTTGGAACAGCACTCACTAGTAGGGAATGGAGATTACACGGTGGAAGCAGGGAGTGGTACAACAACAGTACAAACCCCGAACGGACCCGTACATCTCGTCCAGATCAGCCTATCAGACACTCAGGACCATCAGGCCACTACATGGTTCAACCTGGTCCAGCAGTAGTTCTCTAACCCTTGTATTCTATTGTATATAGTTTTTAGATGTTTTACTTGTAAATAGGTGTTTATTTTTTACTGTGTCATAATTTGTTAATAATGCATTATGTTGAGTGATAAAAGTTAATATTGTCATTGATCTCATATATCATGCTACTAATAACTATAGTTAGTCAAAGCCACTTTATAAGGTGTTGCCTATATTGTTAAATAAAGGAATGGGAAACATGTTATTTGCACACATCTTCAAAAAGTAACTTCTTTAGAAGTTGTAATTCTACTGTGTGGAGCAATTATTTTTTACATGTAAGACATAAACCTGATCGCTTGTAGAATATAATTTAATTGCGGTTTTAGATAAAATGCATTTCTGTTTTCTGTAATTTTTTACAAAGTTTTGAATCTTAATTAGAGTATAACATTTTATTTTTTTGTATGCATGTTTAATGTATTTAAAAAATTTTTTATCATTCATTTTCTATTTTTCTCATAATCATTGAAGTATAAGATAGCCTTTGTTAAAAGAAGCTGTAAACTCATAATATAAACTGCGTGCAGTTGAAAAGAATCAGGAAATATGTTTTAGAAACCACAATTTGATATATTTCTTATTAAACCATTACTTTCTTATTAATGAAATTTACTTTTAAAATTTCAATTTCATCGTGTACATAATTAATTTTATTTTATTTTTTCTTCCCTCTGAAACAAATCTTTTTATCATTCAAAGTGATTATTTCAAACACGTGCTTACAAAAATATTTTGTAATTAAAGATAATTTATCTCACTAGTTTGAAAACTCCTTAAATTTTTCACATTCAATTAAAATTTGTTAACATATACTTTGAAATTACTTATATAGGAGGTGTTGCATTTTCAAAGTTAGGATATTCGATTATTCTTTCTTTCATTTATATATATTTATTTATTTTTTTTAATTTGAATATATTACTTATGTATATTTCTGTACAGATAATCTGTAAATTTTTAGGAAACAATGTATCTATTTCATGTCTAATATTCCAATTATTCGTGTCAACTGTATATAAATGTATATGTATATGAAGTACATACATGTGAATTATGTTAATATTACTTATTTTAGGATATATTTACAATGTGATAAAAACAGTAATATTTGTATTCATGAATTGCTTGTGATTTTATCATGTAAATTATTTATGTTTTTCTAGATGTACAGAATGTTCCGCAAAATTTTATTTTTAATATTTTTATTGATATAAAAACTCTGTTTAGATGTTCTGCAAAGAACAATGTCAAATTATGAAAACAAAAAAAAAAATGAAAATATTTATTTTGATTATATTCCATTTTTCATTCACATTTGAAATACATCTTTCACTTACTGAATTGTTTTTTTCCAATATTTAATATTTACATATATTATTACTTTCACTTACCAATATATAGTATTTGTAAGTATATAGTTATATATATTATATAATGGGCTGGGGTAGAGGGGAGGTAGGCTAAGGCGCTTGCAATAGGTAATCAAAGTTAAGCAACGTCGAGGGTGGTTAGTACTTGGATGGGTGACCGTCCAGCAGGGAAACCCATGCTGCCCAAGTCTCTTTCCCTCCCCCGGGTATGTGAGCCTGTCAGTCTACTGGAGGCAACTCAAACCAACCGGGCATAGGACTGATGACCCTACCCTGTGTGCTTAAATCGGGAATTGGGATGTGACTTACCAGAATATTAATAACCCCCCTGAGGTTCGGTCCATGGATGGTCTATTTCGGGGAAAGAAATATAGGTCCTCGTGCGCCTGCTGACTTTGAGTCATTGTCCTAGAACCCAAGTCGGTGGGAAGGACACTGCCAGATTGGCTATGGTATGTCCCAATTTAAACATTTTTGATTATTAATTTTAGTGATATTTATTTCTAGTGACAAAATTTATACCTTTAATCACAGTTCTATTACAACTCTGGAATCAACTTTCTCACTTTCTGTACAGGTATATGTTTTCCAACTAAAAACATCACTAAAATGACAACTCAAAAATGTTGAAATTAGGATAAATCATTTTGTCATCTGAAATGTAATAAGTGGAAGGAAGTACCACTTCCTTCATATCATCGATTTTACTCATTTTTACAATTTTCTCGAAAATGGCTAATGATTTTGATTAAATTCATTACAACAGTGTAAAATTATGTAGTTTTTAATATAATGTAGGTCTTATACTCATTGAAGTTCTCTAACAGAGTTTAAATGCCTTCCGCTAAAGTATTTATATTTTTTATTTGAAATAAATAACCGTTTCGCATCGTAAACTGATATAAAAAATGGTTAAATATAATGAATGAATAGAATTTATTGGTAACAAAGGAGAAATAAGGGTTGGAAGGTATATGGAAACAGCCAAGAGTGCCTGAGCTCCTGCTAATCCTCTCCCCTTAGGGACACCCGATACTCCTTTGCTGGGATTTCACATTGTTAGTTAACTTTAGTGCCAGCCTTAGACATTTCATGCCCTCCCAGCAATGACATCTCTCCCTTCCCCTAAAAAAAATTAATCTATTTCTTAAGCTGTCTTATATTACTGTGGGCAAAATGGTTCACTATAATTTTTTAACTTTAAATAACGGCACATATCAATTAAAAACTTAATTTTGGGTCAATTCTATGTAAAGCCAAAATTTAAAATCTACAACTTTTATAACATTAATATTTCAATAATTTGAACACAAAAAAAGTATTCCTATCCTAGAGCAAATATTTATTATAGATAATTTATGTTATTAAAACAGTGTTTTAATCTTCTATTTATAATCCCTTACTCCACAGGATTAAAGGATAAAACTGCACAAGAAATTACATGTTTAGTTCAGTACTAAAAAATATTTCTTCAGCAATAGGTCATAGGTCCAAAGAATTGAGTTCTCATTTTAAAGATGACATTGTTTACAATACAACCTTGTTTTAACAGGGTTTAAGTTTGCAGTATATTGGGAAAAAAGTTCAGACTACCTCATAAAATAGTGAAATACATTATAAAAAAAATTAAATCTGGATCAGTGTACAATAATGCCCACCCAAGGAGATAACTGTTGTTGACAATGGAAGAATCTCCTGAGATTGTGCTTTAGTATTCAGAAGTCTCAAAAAATCCAAATTAAGTGCTGGATTGTTTCTGCTCAGCATCAGTTTATGGGAAATCTGCAATACTCCAAACCAGGAGGAATGGATTACATGAAGATGGCTATAGAGGCAGATCAGGAAGCAAAAACTTTTTATAAACAGAAAAAAAAAATCGAGTTTGCCTGAGAATATGTAAATAAACCCAACACGTTTTGGGAAAATGTGGTGTTTTCGAATGAAAGGAAGTATAATATATTAGGATCTGACGGGAAAAAATATATTTGGAAGAAAAGCATTTGAACCCCAAAATCTATAACCCACACAGAAGAACAGAAGGGACAGTGTCATGGTTTGGAGCTGCCAGGGTGCCAAAGGAGTTTGTGAACTAGCCTTTATTGACGAGATTATGAATGCTGACAAATATGTGAAAGTTAATAATGGAGAATACACGTATGTTTCAGTAGGGCAACGATCTGAAGCACGCGGCCATAAAACCAAACAATTGTTGCTGTATAATGTTCGAAGAATTCTCAAAACACCCCCACAATCACAAGATCTTAACCCGATTGAAAATTAATGGGGAGCTGCTGGAATTTCAAATCCGAAAATATTCATATTCCTCTCAGAATAACGCTTGGGAAGAAATTGGACAAGATGCTCCTGAAACCGATGCCAAAGAGACAATGCTGTGATAAACGTGAAAGAGTACCTTACAAAATATGGTGAGTGAGCACAGCACCACCGTTCCCAGCAACCTGATATATGACAAATAATATAAAAATAGTCACGAGTTCGCCTCCCGGTGCCAAGGCGTCTTTTAAATCTCCACCCACACCTCCTGAAAACCCTGTATAGCTTTAACGGCGAGGAAGGGGAGGAGTAAATTAAGACAATTATATCCTTGCTCTAGTCGAGAGAATTCCATTCCTTTCTATAACCCCTTTTTGGGCACTTATTGACTGGACTACTTGGTTTAATCTCATTATAACGCCAGTGTTGTTGTTTCTCAATTTCCTTTACATATTTGTATTCAGTTGATTTTCTATCTATATAAGAAAGCGGGGTAACTCAGTGTGTAAACACTGACTTCCAAAGCTCAAGGTTCCAGGTCGAGCCCGGCTGATGACAAGTAATTTTCCATTAGCTGTCAGATCGACCCTGAGATCGGGAGAACTTCCTGGGGCACATACTGACTCTATAAAGTGGGAACTCTTAATTAAAGTGGGGACTCTTAATTAAAGGGAGAACTTGTCTGTTGAGCGGGATCTTGGCTCGACCTCCTGCCTGCACAATCGTTGGCCTTGAAACAGCACTTCCTTACTAAATACTCAACCCAAGACGCTTCATGGGCTTTAGTGGTACAAGTTTTTATATATTTTTTTCAATCAATATTTATTTATTTATCAATATTTATTATATATCTTTTTTTTTTTTTTTAATTTCTTTATTGAGTATTATAACAATCTGTCTGTTGGACATTGGTTATAGTGAGGTAGGATGACATTCACACTATATGTACAAAAAAATAAAATAAATAGAACAAAATAATAATCAAAAGTATATACAATAGACAATAAAATAAAATAACCTAAAAGATAAGAAAATTAAAACTAAGAAAAAAAAAACACCTGCATACCTATATACAATCAGGCGAGGGAACTCCAGGAGAACCCTGCGCTACTCTCCCAACCGCGTCACTGGTACTAAAGCCAGCGGAGATTGGTCGAGAGCACTTTAGCCACACACACTCATGTCTTGAGTGAAGAATCTGGCCATTGCCAGAACTCCAATTTATACAATCTACAAAAGGTCGCGAGGCCACTGCCGTTTCAACCTTCTTGGAGGATTATAGGGATGGGAGGTGCTTGATAGGGATTGTGCAAGAGGATTTGGGTGGTAAGTAAGGTTCTGGTGAAATTTGGAGAATTTTTCTGGGATAAGGTCTAGGACAAATGGGATGTTGAGGTCATGATGTAGGGTTTTGTTGGTTACATAGAAAGGAGCATCGACTATTGTTCGAAGGACTTTAGACTGGAAGGATTGGATGCGCTTGATGTTAGAAAATTTTGCTGATCCCCACAGTTCTAGTCCGTAAGTCCAAATAGGTTTCAGAATTGTCTTGTAGATCAGTAGCTTGTTTTCAATAGAAAGATTAGATTTTCTGCTTAGTAGTCGGTATAGTTGGCCGTATCGTCGGTTGAGTTCTTGTCTTTTGAGTCTAGTATGCGGGTTCCAAGTTAGTCTTCGGTCTAAATGAAAGCCAAGATACCGGACTGTGTCTGAGTAAGGAAGCTGGATGGAATTAAAGAGTACTGGTGGACAGGAATTGCGTCGGAGTGTAAAGGTAATATGTTGGCATTTAGATTCATTAACTTTAATGCGCCAGTTATTACACCAGTGCTCAATCAAGGTGAGGTGGCTTTGGAGATTTAAGGATGCTATTTCGGGATCAGAGTTGGATGATAAGATTGCAGTGTCGTCAGCGAATGTTGCAAGAAAAGTATCGGGATGAACAGGGATGTCAGCAGTAAAGAGGATGTAAATCACGGGACCCAAGACGCTGCCTTGGGAAACACCGGCTTTAACGGAGTAGATATTGGAAAATTCTGTTCCACAGCGAACTCGAAAGGAGCGGTCAGAGAGGTAGGATCGGAGGACTAGGTACAAGGACTGAGGTAAATGGATTTTAAGCTTGGAGAGCAGTCCGGAGTGCCATACCCGGTCAAATGCCTGTGCAATGTCCAGAAAGGCACCCGAACAGTATTCCTTGTTTTCTAGGGCTGAGGAAATATGATCAACAACTCGGAGTCCTTGTTAAACAGAACAGTAGAATGTTGAGAGCGAAAACCAAACTGATGGGAAGGGATATTTTGGGATTCTATAATGGGTAGGATTCGTTTCAAAAGGATCTTTTCAAAAATTTTTGAAAGGATTGGGAGTAGGCTGATTGGTCTATAGGATGTTGAGCTATTGGGAGGTTTGCCTGGTTTGGGGAAAAGGATAATAGTGGAGTGTTTCCATAACAGAGGGAAGTGGGTGGTGCGTAGGATACAATTGTAGATATATGTAAGGAATATGACTGCTTTGGATGGAAGTTGTCGAAGGATTTGAGGTGTAAGGAGATCATGTCCAGGAGCTTTACGGGGGATTAGTTTTTTTAATTGAAATTTTACTTCGGAAGGATGAATAGCTTTTGGGGGCAAAGAAAGTGGGATTGGTGATGTAAGGAGTTCTTCTACTGTTACGGTGTGGGCAGGATGGGATTCCGGATGTGAAATAAATGTATTGGATAGGTGAATGGCGAACTCCTCAGCTTTATTTTCGTCAGATGCTGCCCAGGAGCCATCACCTCGTCGGAGGGGATGGGAAATGCGGTGAGGATTTAGGATTTTTGTTGTGGTTTTCCAAAGGGAATTGTCGTGAGAAGAGAGGGAGGATAGGTAGGAGTTGAAGGATTGTGATCTGAAGGTGGCTAATTCTAGTTTTAATTGTTTGCAGTAGTAATTATAGGAGCAGCGGTCGGTAGGATGTCGGGTACGTTGCGTAATAATCTGGCACGGCGTTTGGTGTGGATTAGGTTAAGGAGGTGTTGGGGTAGAATGGTCTTTATAGGAATTCTGGAGGAGTCTTTTGGGAAGGAGGCAGTCCAGGCGGCTTGTTGGATTGTGGTAGTAAAGGAATTTACGGCACTATCAAGGTCATCGGGAGTTTTGAGGGATATGTTGAGATCAATATTATCGGAGATTATTTGTCGGAAAAGGTCCCAGCTTACTGGGCCCCTAATGAATGACGGTGGAGAAGGTTTGGGAACGGGTTCAAGTGAAACATTAAGGATTAGAGGACTATGGTCAGAGGAAAGTTCATTTAGACGTGTAATGGAACAATTGAGGGGACTCAAGCCGCTGTGGATAAAGAAATCAAGAAGATCAGGATTACGGTTGGGATCTGTGGGCCAGTAGGTAGGAGAGTTGGGGGAAAGGAGGTTAAAACGTAGGGAATTGAGTGCAGACAGCAGGGATCGGCCACGAGAATTCGTGGTTCTGGAACCCCATTGTTGGTGCTTGGCATTTAGGTCTGCACCCAAGATGAAGTGATGTCCTAAGGAGTCGAGGAGAGTTGGGCATTGGATATGGATCGGTTAGGAGGGCAATACGCTGATGCAAGAGTAACCGGCAAGGAGAAGGTTTTTATCACGATAGGGGTAGACTGTAGGAAATCATGTGTAGGTAATGGGAGTACGTGATGGGAGAGGGATTGGTGTACAATTACAGCAGTACCGGCATGTGCTTTTCCGTCAGGGTGGTCAGTACGATATGTCAGGTATTGTGGTATATTGAAGTGCTGTTTAGTGGTTAGTCGAGTTTCAGTAATTAGTGTCACATCAATGTTTTTGTCAAGTAGTAAAGTAGATAGTTCGTCTGTATGATTTCTAACACCATTCGCATTCCAAAGGAGAATGGATATGGGTTTAGGGATGTGAGTCATTTAAGGATTTTTTTAAAGGAGGGATGAGGTGAGATACGAGATTCGTGAGGAGTGATATGAGTGGAGTAACAAGGGATTTGAAATCGGTGAGGAAAGATGCTAACAAACTTGTGAGATCCGTTGCATTTGAAGGAGGAGGAATATGAGGAATTTGTTGTTGATGGTTAGGTATATTAGGATGAAGAGGATTTTGAGATTGGTGTTGAGGTTGTTGTTGTGGCAGGGCTTGACATTTATCGGTTGAAGTCTTACCTCTAAGTAGTTGGGAGAATGATACATCATTGTTTACAATTCTGGAAGGCTCTCTCTCTCTTCTTGTTCTTAGTGTTTCATCTTGAATCCGGTTTTTCTGGTGTCTGGTTTTGAGATTCTTGTAAATTTAGCAGCCTTTGTAGTTGGCCGGGTGTCCCTCCAAGCATAGGGCACATACTGCTGGATCTTGTATAGGTTTGGTGCACTCTACAGATTTGTGCTGTTCACCGCACTTCACGCAACGCGGCAAATGGTGGCAATATGTCTTCGTGTGGCCATAGGTCTGACAATTATGGCACTGCACGATGTCTCTCTTGGGGTATGGCTTCTCAACTTTCACCATTGTGTAGTATATTCTTGTGATATCATATATTTTTTCGATACCTGGTGATGGCTCCAAGTCCACGAAAAACAATGGTAGTGGGATCCTATTTCGTAATCCTGGCTGCTCCCTGTCCTCCTTCAAAACGTTTGTTATCTGGCGTACATTGAATCCAAGCGTCGTTAGTTCTTCTTTAATAACTATTATATATCTAGAGACCGGATCTTCGCGCAGTAAAAATCCGAAAAACGTGCAAAAAAAAACTCAAAATGAGCAAAATCGTGCAATGAAAACCCAAAATATGTACAATTGCATAATTTACATCTGAGGACGTGCAAAAATCATGTATTTTGTTTAATTTATGATGTTAATACATCGAAATCCTATCAAATCTTATGTTAAACTTTGAATTAAAATGTTGGACCACAAAAAACATGAAATCCATATTACAATCAACTAACCACAACAATACATAAACTAATACAACTACTTCAATTACTTCAAGCAAGTTTTATTCCAGGAATAGTCTGTCTGGATTTGTGTTTACCTCGTCCTTTTGTGACGTTAAATTCGAATCTTTGCGTCACAGAATCATTTACCTTCCTCATATTTTTCTTTCTTAAATTATAAATTCAATATGGAGAAGATAGTAAAATAATAAAGTGAATATTTACACACACCTCACCTATATATTTATATAATTTGATATAGCACAAAATGTACAAAACGTGCAATTTAATGCAACAAAAATCAAAATCGTGCAATTTAAACAAAAAACGGAAAACGTGCTATATAAAATCTAAATACGTTATTCTACAGATCCTGAAACGCATAGATATTCGGGTCCTGGGTTTTTAAACGCAAGCTAATAAAATGTGCAATAACATGAATATCCTGTCAATGGAATTATCCATGAGTTAAGGAACGCCTTACAGTTAACTGTTGTGTAGGTATCTCATCGATTAACTGTAGGCGTTGGTCTCATGTAGGTCTAATGTTCCCTATGTTCCCTTTTTATGATCAACACCTCTTTGATCTTATCATCCAGTTCATAAACTGTTCTGTTTGAGCTTTTGTAAGCGAACGATTCACATTGGTGCTCTAAGTTTACTCGCTTAGTTTAAGTGTTTAATACGGCCTTTTAATATTAAATAAGAAATGCCGGTCAGTGGTTATGATACACATGATGATGGACCGGGATTTGTAGGCATCAGGTTTTGTCAGGAATGGTTCGTATTCTTCTTGATTCTTTCCTTGCACACAATTTTTGTAATTTTACAAATTATAAAATAAACTGATATAACATTGAAAATTATTACAGCAACAACATGCTTTACCCAAAGGAAGATAAGGAAAATAAAGTTTTACTTTATGCAGTAAGTTTATTTTATTTCTTCTTAATACAAAACATTTAACTTAAATATAATTAGTTTTGTTTTAATTTACAGTGTAGGAATTGTGATTACAAACAATTGGCTGACAGTAACTGCATTTATGTAAATAAAATTATGCACGAAATCGAGTAAGTAGAATTTTATGTTTATCAGATTGTGATAACTTATCTGAACTCTAATTAGTAATTCATTAATTCAACTAACTAATTGGTAATTCATTTTCTAGTGAACTGACTCATATAGTGTCTGATGTGATATCTGATCCAACTTTACCTCGCACTGAACAGCATCCATGTCCCAAATGTAACCATAGAGAAGCAGTCTTTTTTCAAGCTCAGACACGCAGAGCTGAAGTGAGTATCTTACCTTACCTAACTATGAAGTCCTACAGCCCAGGATGGGCCTTAGCTTCCTGAATTATAGCATGACAATCATATCTATTGCTCGCCCTTTCCTTCCAGTATTCTAACATCGCTTAATATCTTGTAGTCATCTTTTCCTTGGTCTTCCCTTTCTTTTTGTGCCATACATTGTAGAGAACAATGCCATATAAGACATCCTGCTGTACTCCATTCTAACCACGTGCGCTAACCATTTCATATACGTAGTTTTAGCAAAATGAACTATGTTGTCGCTGTTATATAATTCATATAGCTCCGCATTTTTTCTATACCTCCACACACCCTCTTCACAAACTGCTGCATAAATTCTCAATGTTTTTCTTTAAAAAATATTAAGTATGCTAATTGTGCTTGTACAAAGGGTCCATGTCTCCACTGCATTAGTCACAATAGGTCTTACTAAAGTCTTATCTTTGTTTCTTGTGACAGAACCGATGATCGAAAAAATTTTAGGTTGGCATAGTACGTCAGGTTTCCAGCCATGATCCTTTTGTAAACCTCAGCAGCAATTTTATTTTCACAATTCACTTTCACCCCCAGGTACATGAATGTTTTGACACTCCAAGGTGAGACCACATATTTCAATGCTCTGTGGACCAGCCTCATTGTTGGTCCGACATACATGTATTTTGATTAATTTTCAGCCCAACATTTTCACTTTCGGCTTCCAAGTGAGTATCTTAAATTTATTAATTCAGTATTGGAAATGGATCAATCTGATCTTAAGACGTTTTCACTCCTTATTTTTTGTCCAGTATACATTCAATCTGAAACTTGTTGAATAACTGACATTCATTAGTTTGGGGTTTCTTAGAAAATTGTCACTAACGTTGATTTTTTTTTATTGCAAATTGGTCTGTTACAATTTTTTTTCTAAATTTAGCCAGAATCAATACACTTATTATCCATAAGAGTAATAGTAATAACAAATGAAAATTAGCCCTTCCGGTTTGTTTATCCCTTGAGCCTATGTTATTTGGACCTTAAATAAGTTCTCACTGTTTCCTAACAAATGGCAGCACCAGTACTTATGGTATTTCGTTTAAAATGGTAACACAATTTTCCTAGAACTAAAGGTGGTAAGTTTGGACATTGTGGACATCAGTGTATAATCGTTCTTCACAATGTAAACAACATTTTTTTTTTAGTTCTAAAAATGTCAAGTTTTCTGCAAAATAAGGAATATTTGTGGAAAGTTTTATTACACTATTACATTAAAAAAAAATTTGAAGCTGAGATACACTGAATTCTTATTGAGACTTAAGGTGAGCATATTATGTGTCTATGACATGTAAAGATTGGTTTCATCTCTTCAAAAATAATGATTTTAATGTTGGAGATAAATAATGGTCTGGTACACCGAAAGATTTTGAAGACGAAGAATTGGAGAAATTACTTAATGAAAATTGATATCAGACGCTAGCTGAATTTAGAAAAAACATTAATAGTAGATGACACAATGGTTTCAGAACATTTGAAAGCATCAGGAATGATCCAGAAGCTAGAACTTTAGGCGCCTTATGAGTCGTTGAAGCCTTCATTTGAACAACAGTTTCTCATGTGTGAACTACTGCTTTATGGGTAGAAAATTAAAAGCATTTTTTATCAATTTGTGACTCATTATTACAAATGTATACAGTAAGATAATCCTGCTTAAAAAATTGTGTAAGCTCGGCCATGTATCAGCATCATCTATAAAGCCAAATATCCTTAGTTCAAAACTTCTTCTCTGCATTTATTGGGATCAGTACACTGTTATTTATTATGAACTGCCCAAACCAAACAAGAATTAATTTTTACAAAAAAAAAAAAAAAAAAAAAGCTGGGGAAACTTATTTAAGGTCCTAAACACAAGTCCATCGATGAACATAATTGTAAAGAATCAGTTACTTTCCAAATTTAATCCATAGCAGGAGTGTGAAAACCCTACTTTTTTATAAATGTGCCAAAATCAAAGGTTGCACGTATGCAGTATGCCACAATTTATTCGGTCTTCATCACTGAAATAGAAATTGAATTTTTTTTCTAATTATAAAATTAAGAATAAAATATCTGTTGTATCCTCTCATATGACTTTCTTTACTGTTTTAGGTGCCTAGTAAATTACCAAAATTGAGCACTTGACTGAATATTCACATTTTATTCTGTGGAGAAAATTAATTTATAACCAAAGTCCAAATATTTATGTAGTAAAATTTGCAAAATCTGTCATATATTATGCAATTTAATTTAGTTTTTAGTTGAGTATTACTGATCTAGTGTATGATCGATCTGCTCTTGACTCATTTGTCAACCAGAGGTGACACTTGTGAACTTGTACAAAAAAAAAAAAATTATGAATTCAGGGACATTTAGCTTTGGTAAAGCATTCATTAATCAATAAATAAAATCTTGACATCTATTAAGAAGTCTTAAATAGTAATAATTTTGATATCTATCCCTATCATGTGATCTATGGTTCAGATTGAGAACTAGTTTATGTATTAATCACAATTCGAGAAATAGTTGAAATATTTTTAATGTCTAGTTAAAGTAGCCTTAAATGGGCTCAATAAATTTTAATATTTGGATCCTCTTTTATGAAAATGTCATAATTTTGTATCCTGGTCTATGTGCACATTGTTCCTTAGGGTGCACTCATTACAAAGTGTTCTTGAGTGCTTCGCAAGTAATGTCCAGTTGTTTTGATTTTAATTACTACATTTTGTCTTTTATATTTCCCTTTTTAAGTGATTTTGTTATATTGAGTAATTTCAATAGATCTGTTAAAAACGAAAAGTAATGATGTAATTAAAGGAAATACAATTAAAAAGATATGTATATAGTATAAACTTAAAAGAAATCAAATTTTCAGTAGAGAAAAGAAAAATCATCAAAATTATTAGATTTTTAATTAAATATTTCTTTTTCAGGAAGAGATGAGACTGTACTATGTATGTACAAATCAGCATTGCACTCATAGATGGACTGAATGAATGTTTCAATTTTACTTTATTGTATGACTCTCATCTTTTGTATGGATTTTATCTGTTTAAATAGTTTAAAATTATGAATAAATTATTTTTATTTTTTAAACTTCTGTTTTCCTTTTCCAAGTATGTTTATCTATCAACAGCTTATCGCTAAAAGTCGCCAAGTACACTTTTGATGGAGCTAGATTTCCAAATAAAATTTCTTAATTTTAGTAATATTTATCAGTGCAAAAACATATTAAGTATACCAAAACAATAACAATCCTATTATATGTCAAAAATGGTTACACCAAGTGCGCAATGTTTTGATTTCATAGAAGAAAATTTACCAAATTTCTTAGTGATTTAATTTGATAAAATGTTAATGTTTTTTTTTTTTTGTTAACTGACAATATTTATTTTTGCAGAAATATTTTTGTTCCTGTTTATTATAATATAATTTAAGTCAAATAGGAATACGATGTTTTCTTGCTAAATTATTATTTTTTTTAATTAATAAATAAACTTTCCTAACTTAAACTGGCAGACTTGTGTTAAATTCCAAGATTAAAATGAACCATCTGGAACCTAGCAATAATAGTAAAAATTTCAGAAGGGTTAAATGTGTTTCTTAACTAATATGGCCTGCTACAAAAGTTGTTATTATGTAAATAATTGAAAATTAATTTAGTTATTATTAACGATTGAAGTGTAAAAACAATATAGAATTAATTTTATAAAATTCCATAATCTACTTTTACTTGCAAACATATATATATATATATATATATATATATATATATATATATATATATATATATATATTTTACATCAAGAGAATATGGTAGAAATAGTTAAGAATTAATTAAATTAAATTATATGGATTTAAAATATTATATTTGGCGGAAAGATACTCTTGATATCTTGGTTCGACAGGTCTTTGGAATGCTTTTCGTTGTGGAAAGACCAGTTAGTAACAATCAACAGCCTGCAATCACTCAGCAACATTGGGAGCAGTGTAAATTATTGTCATTGAATTCTGATCGATTTCTATTGTATAGGGAATTGAATCATGGTCTTAAATTTTGAAATTCATGGATGGCTACTGTTGGGATTTGACTGGGCGCGAGTTGAGTTGGTTGTTCAAGCTCAGGTGTGAACTCCTTTATTTGAATTACATCCCGAGGACCGTTTCCATTTTTTGGCTGAGTCTTCAATGCTTGGTCAAATTTCTTGGAACTAGTCCGGTTCGAAATGATATCCTAATTTCCCTTCTAAACGCCCCCTCAGTGAACCAATGTCATAAAATTGTTGGTTTTGCTATATAAACAATGAATGATCCTTCTAATTTATTTGTGGTCAGTTTTATTAATTTTATTGTTTATGATTTTCCTTTATTATTATTTCTTAAGACATAAATTATTCAAAATATTTATTATTTTAAATTGTATTAGTTGTTTTATTATTTATCAGTTATTCATGTATATGTAATTGTTATAAAGTCTTTATTTGTACTGTATCCGTAAAACATATAAAATTTCCGGCAGACGAATAATCATGCCGTATAAATGTTATATGTATATTGGAAATTTATAATTTATACATGTTTAATAAAGCATTTCTCATTCAATTAAATTTGCTTTTCGTTACTCATTTATTGTGTTTTACCTATAACAATGGTGGGGAAGTTTAATGTTACAACACTAAAATTTTAATAGAATAAATATTTATTCTTAGTTTATTTTATACTTCCATTGTTTTTCTTAGCTCTGATCAAGCTAGAAGACTTAGGCCGAAATGTTAGAACACATTAAAAATAAGTTTACAATTACCATGTCTTTTCTTCTTTGACCATTCCTAACCGTCTTGTTTAAGTGTGTGATCAACATTCTCCACCATTTGAAATTATGGTAAAGCATCGTTTTCTGTATTTTTTATCAAACCCATGAATCTCAAAAAAACAATTAAAATATGATATTTTAGCATTGATCAATAAATTATTTGTTTATCGGGTTAAGAACCATTTGTAATTTTTTAGCTTTATTCTTGGAGTATGATATCAGTTATATTGTGATAAACCTCAATTATATTAACCGGATACAATTCACGCAATTTGGCATTGTGTGACCTTCTGAACTCTCTGGTTAACTCATCCTTCTTTGATCTGAATATTCTACACAATACTTTATTTTCAAAAACTTTAAGATGTTGCTCATCCCTTGATGTAAGCGGCTACGTTTCGCATTGATAAAGAACTGTAGGTAAGTTAATGGTTTTATAGTCCCCAAGAGAGGAAGAAATTAAAAAAAAAACATCATCTTGAGAGACAAACCAGAATAATTGAATTTTTAGGTACAGCAACTACAAGAGGAAATTTGATTTATTCCTTGGGTCCTTCATTAAGTCAACACATTAGCAGATTCAGGGGGTCCCCACTCCTGGATGGTGAGAAAAAATTTTATCTTAAAAAACTTACTAAACAACCGTCCTTTATATTATTATTGAGAAGTGGAAATATGAAATCCATCGGTTTCACAAGTTCACCCCCTCCCCGTCAGAACATTCCTTGATCTGCCACAAAATCAACATGACTAGTATATTCTAAGAATTGTGGCCTTACTTCTGAATTTATTCAACTGGTTATATAAACTAAAATGAAAAAACAACAACATTACAGTAAAAAAGGAATGTTTATTTACATTAAAGTCTCAGATTTATTAAGTAAACTGTTAAATTTAACAGTTAATACATTTTACAAGACATAATTAGAACAAAGTTAAATGATTTAGTTTGAATAAAACACATACATTTTAACTAAATTGCGTCAAGATTAAATAGTTTCATAATACCTAAAAGTCATTAAACTATTAATTTTTAATAATTACACAGACTGAAGATAGCAAATAGTATGAAGCACAATCAAATTTTCAATTAAAAAGTTGTCTGGTATTTTCTTGAACATAATTTAATCTATAAATTATAGATTTTTAATCATAAATACATCCTCAATGTTCAATATCTAATTCAATTTTTAGGTAAATTGATTTTTTGCTCAATCTTGTTTTATTGAAAATATAATTAAAATGAAATAGTTTAAAGTTAGCTAATGCCCATGTTATTAATAATGAAGAATGAGCACTTACATTTCATCATTATATTGAAACATTTTAATAGTAATTTGGTCTATAAATCTTAAAATGTTTCGGTCAATTTCTTCATCAGTTCTATCAAGCAATAAATAACAGTAAATTATTTAATTTTAAGCCCTTTTAAAATTTATTTAATGGTATTAATTACAAAAATCCAATGAAAAGTGTTTTTTACCATTGAAGAATTATTTTAAATGCTTTTTGAGCAGTTTATTAGCATTGATAAACTATTTCAGCTAAATAAATAATCTGATTAGATAAGATATATGTAAATGGTAAACAATATTCATAACTGTGATTTTATGAAGGAACAGCAGTTTAGAAAAATATCTTAACTATTGGGATTAAGTATTTTTAAAATTGTATTTTTTTAAGGGAGGGGTGATGGGGGGAGGGAGCCAACTTCAGGATTAAGTTTACTAATATTTATTAAAGTAAAAAATACAATTATCACATAAGAGACTGAATGCATTTATAATACATAGCGGGGCAAAAATAAGTAAACCTCTAATCTAATATTTAGAGTTCAATAGATTCTTGCTTTTTAACCTTTTAACTGCAGTATGCTTGAACTAAAAACATTGAAGCATAATGAGGTTCTAATAATTTTAATATATAATTTTCATGAAATTTATAAATGATTTTGTGGTTTAATAATTAAACATTACACAATACATAAGGTATAATAAATCTTTTTATTTTAATAATTTCATAGCAGGTATGTTCTTTTTGTCGATCTTACAATATGAATTTATTATAGCTGTATTAACAATAAAATAAAAATTGTTCAGAATAAGACTTATAGCATGAAAGCGACATGTGGAGGTACAATTTTAGATAATAAAATCAGGGACATATTTTTAATTTATGTTTTCAGATACCAGAAATCATTAGTTAATTGAAAAACATAATTCCCAGCTGTGGATTTCAGGTAAGGATTAGTGAATAGTCGGTCAGACAGGAAATTAAATAAAATGGCAATCATTTAAAAATTGAATACCTATTTTCAATCACTAGGGGGTACTCCTTGTCTGCCTAACAACGGACCAACCCCATTTTACAAATTATACAACTATTCATTTAATTGTACTATTTGTTGCTCAATTTGTATAGCTGTAATTTACATGTATTATCTAGTTCAGATTGTATTATTTTTTATTAACATAAAATAAATGGAATGAAACCACAGTGCGGGCAAATTTTTAATTTCTTAACATTTTAATGATCAAGCCATTCGAGTGGATCTTCCTCCGTGTGCAAAATTGTTTTTCTCTCAAAAGTTCTAATATACTGTTAACAAAAAGTATCATGCATTTTTTTAAGTTTTAAGAATAATTTAATCGTGATAATTAAAAAAAAACACGAGTGAGCTTGTAAGCTCACCTTTGTCCATAAGTAGATAAAACACAGTTTTGTTTTTTTATTTTTATTTTCTTATTGTTACCCTTGGATGTTATTTCTTATGTGTATTGTAATGTCAACATTACATGGTATATAAATAGTGGCGCGAAAGTGGCAAGAAGATGAACTACAGGAAAGAAGTGGGGGAGGCAAGCTCATGTGACAGAGACTGCGACGGGCCGCCAAGAGAAGATGTGACAAGCTGTCAAGAGGGAAGCCAGCACGCTGAGAAAATGGAAAGAGCCACAAAGACTGGGACAATAAAGGTTTTTGAAAACAATATGTATAATTCCTAAATGTATGTATCTCGTTTCTTATATGTATTTATTAATTCGTAAATTATAGTTATTAAATGTGAATGAGTGTTCAGTTGTCAGAACCCAATCTGAGATGTATATTATGTGTTAAAATAAATAATATTAAAACAGGAAACTCGTTTGTTTTGATTTATGTTCACAAAGGGAACGTTACAAC